CATTTCATTACCTTTAATAATTTTATCGCTCGAATGATTTTTTTTCAAACGAATTCGAATGCTTTAGAAATAATACTGAAAAATTTTAGACTGAAGTAATTAATGATCATAAAATTTATATTCTTATTGGAAACTATAATGAAGTATAGCCAATAATTTAAGCTAAAGTAGCTCGGTATCGGTACTGGTCGAGCAATGTGTGAATGAAACTATATCGCAGATACGATTTCTGCTTTTTGACAGATGTAAATATGACAACCTAAATATGATAATACGAATGGCGCTATATTTCTACAAAAGTCTCTTCAACAAAAAATCTCAGTAAAGAGCAAGGCCAGAAATTGTGGGCATTAAAAGATAAAGAAAAGGATTAAGACCTTAACTCTAAAAAACTCCGAACACTGAAAAATTGGCCATTCAAATGATAAAACCATGATTAGGAAATAAAAATTGAAATAAAAATGTAGAACATTGTGTTAATCATTGTGAATAAAGATTATTAATATGGATAATAATAGACAAATTTTTTTTTTGGAGAAGGTGGTGGAAGGGAGTAGAGAAAAGGAGAGGGGAAAATCTTTTTTGCCCATGTGCTCCGTACTGTTTGATAATATTTTCTGATATCCTCTTTAGTAGTCTTGATAGTCAAGTAACGAATTTAATTCCATTTTTGCATGAAATCCTAATAAAAAATTTAGAAGGGCTGAATAATCGTTTTTTTTTCTTTAAATGATTGGGAAAAATGTGATTTCTAAGAATCCTTTGATTTAAAGTCATAATTTAAATTAATAAGGGCTGAAAAATTTCGACGGCTAAACATTTAAAATTTAGGAAATAATGAATTTTGACTAATTAATAATGAAAGAGAAAATTAAAATGAAACGAAGATCTGTTTTCATAATTTAACTAGAAAATCTTTCATTAAAAATGAAATCTTTGTGGTACCAACAATTTACTCTAACTATAAGCAACTTTCTGGCCAAATGATTTTCTGGCTAATGGATCTTTTAAAGATCATTCAAAGCTATGAATGTTGTTAGAACACAAAATATAGTTGCTTATTTTATCAAAAAGTATTTATCGTGAAATGATTTCCGAATAAAACTTTTATTTCAAATACGCAAAATTAATATTTTATTTCATATGAATCAATTTTTCTCAATTTTTTTCAATTTTAACTTTTTTGCCAAATATCGAGCAAAGATATGGATTTTTCCGGATCATTGTTCTTTATCCACTGTGGAAATTTGTTTAAGGCCAAAAAGGAATGGCTTTTTTTATTAGCGATGGCGTTGGGCCAAGAAGCTTGGAGACATTTTATTTTTGTAGCCAGCAGAGCCAGCATAACCAGTAATGGTGAGAGTTGTTAAAAAAAGAAGATAGTTTAAGGCCATACGAAAATTGCCTCTTTAAATGTTTGCATAATTTTGACTCCCATAGGAGTATTCTTTATGATAAAATTTGGTTGCTGCTGGCGATCCATCTATATTTGTATCGCCAATTTTCGTCACTGCGAAAAATTTCTAACCGTATTTACGGCCAGCATAAGCAAATTTAGCCAAAAATGATAAACGCTAATCATTTAATTAAAAATTTACATAGATGTTGGTGAAGGTTTTTTCCCACAAATTTTTCGTTCTCTCTTATTATCATTTTTATTCTATATTCATATATAAAATATTTCGTATCAATTTAATTGAATTTTTTTTATTGAAAAATTTTTACGACATTTTTAATGATTAAATATAAATTTATACATTCATATACAGTGTAAAATTTTTCATCAATCGTTTCCGTTTTTATTCAATCGGGAAAACAGCTCTAAAAATAGAAATGGAAGCTACGGCTATAATCATGTTTTAAAATATGGCTTTGAAAGGTAATTATGAGTGGTTGGTCTTAACTGCGGCTCCAACCATGCTTAAAGACTTTTGTGGCCTCCTTCTAAGATTTCTACGTGGCATTGCTTGAAATATGAATGGATTCTTTGTGAATTGCTGATTTTTCTTTGAAAGCAAATTCTTTTTAAAAAATCGACTTTTTTATTCGATAAACAATTACTTACTGTTGTGCCTAAGGATAATCGAAAATATACCTGCTTTTATTCGTTTTTATCGGTGAATTTTATACTTCTTTGAGTTGTGAAAGTTTTATGTTGTTGCAGAAATGTTACATTACGTTTTACAGAAATTTTACATTACGTTTTACATTTTGTAAAAACTTGGTCTTTACTTTTCCATTTCATAATTAAATCGAATACAACGAAATAAGTTTTTTCTGAAATTTTGCAAACATTCTATATCATCAAATGGCGATATGCATTATTTTCGGAGGACTTCGGAGAAATAGAAAATTCAATGATAGAAAATTTTGTTGATCTCGAGGATCAACAATCTCGAGATATCCGAGTCCAGTATGGCTATTTTTAGATTCTCAAACCAAAGTTTTTTCTTAGGGTTGTTTCTGTTGCAAAGGATATATTTCACGAATACTGTATTAATGATGTTTCGTTTCTTGACCTCAATGCTCGTTTCGTGAATAATTTATTTTCGGAAGAAGATATGGGGTATTTCAATAAACAATTAGCTTCGATCGACCAAAATCTAAGTTTGGCTTATACCAATAATTAAATTTTCCTAGATTCGTTATTGCTCAAGCTCTCGTTTCATTCATTCAATTAAAAATTATAGAGAAATAGCGAAAAAAGACGAAATTGGTCTATTTTTTTCATAGTTAATTGATTCATGAAAAAGACTTCTTTTGCACTTCTTTTATCATATCACCATAGATAAACTGTTATCATAGAAAGTCATCGTAAATCGTAAATCGTTTTCCGCACTTGAATAGCGTGCAAAAATTGAAATTTTTCTAAAATCTAGTCAATGTTTTATCACAATTCCAATGTTAAATTTTCATGATTATATCTATTTTTTAACCGTTAGAAAATATAAATAATTGGCTAAGTGGTTTCTAAATGGTATCTCTTTTTACAACTAGATTTTAAAAATAAAATTATTTTTTGCTACTTGTGCCAAACCTAAATATTTATAGGTTTTATTGGCTATCATACTGGATTGCTGCATATTATTAATTAAGTACTTTTGTTCTTAGAATATCTAATTTTCTTTCTTTCTGCCAAATTTTGTTAGTTTCTTTTCGCAACAGTGTTGTATTTACCGATAAGTTCAAATTCCCGCTCGCATAATGTGACTTATAAAAGAGAATTTTGTTTAATTAGCTTTAAAAAATCAACTTCTCTTGTTTACATTTAAATTATATATATATATATCAGATTATGCGAAACTCGACTGATCATTATTATCATGATCATTAGCTAGAAAGAATTATGAGGATGAGAATAACATATTTTCTGAAATTTTAGAAAATGTGAAGAAAATGGAGATCAATAGGAAAAACAACAAACAATATAACCCAAATTAGCCTCAAAATTTCCGACTTTAATTTCGTTTGACTTATGCCTATTCCTAATAATAAGTCAATAAAACTTTAGAAAAATAGATAAGAAATCGAAGCTAACGAAATAGTTGGTAGAATTATTCACGTTTTAATATTTTTTAAAAATATCAATTTTTCTCCGAATATATAAAATAAATTATTTTCAATCAAACGTATCCCACCGTATTCTATTATCTTTGCTGAATTTGCGTTTGGAACTTTTCTGGATACTTGTTGTTTGAAGATATAATTCATATTTTTTTCGGTTTGCTGGTGCATGAATTTGTTGTCTGGATATTTATGCGTATTTCTCTTTCCGGCATTTATTATTATGTCTATCGATCTTCATTAGCCACTTTTTTTACCCGATTGGCTTCATATTTCAGATTCGATATCACCAGCATTTTAATATTTGTGCTTTTTATTTTTCTCGACTTTTTCATTAACTTTTATAACCTCTTTGCCTATTATTTTTATAATGAACCATAATATAAATAAGCTGGTTACAATGGTCAATATTGCTTCATTTAGTTTATTCGATTGTTCTTCAATTAATCTTATTTGGTAAAAAAAACTTTTTTTATTAGATTTATTCAATTTGGTAATTTTTCAAATAAAAGTGCATGCCTTCTTCTTTTGTTTTTGCATCTTTCGTTTAAAACATTTTAAATATCCAAATATCATATCATCCCAAATATCATTTTAATATTCAGTTTTAAAAAATTCAAAAATACAAGCAAAGTTCATTTAAAAATCATTTTTGCTTCATAATTCACTCATTTCTGGAATTTTCCTTTCTTAATTCACCCAACTATCATTCAGTATTTTGTTATTAAAATGTTTAAAATGACAAGTATACCAAAAATGATATATATAAAAATGTAAATATAATAGCCTCTGGAGATAATAATTGCCTATTATAATTCCTCTGGCATATGAAACTTATACATGTATAGTTTATTATCGAAAATGACGACTCGTTTCTATTTATTTCACCTCTCTCCTGAAAATGTCTCGTGTGAAAATGAAAAAAAAAAGTATCGCGTGTGAGAGATTGGTGTCCTGTATGGTTTCATCTTTATTTTATCTTTATTTTATTTTGGTTTCATCTTTATTTATCTTTATCACCAGTACATAACGATTTTCTGAGAATTTTCTTTGTTATAATTCTTGGACTTTTGAACTATAGGTCGAATTTTTATATTTTTCTTAAAAATTTGTCATTCATAATTTTATAAGAAATTTTGACAAAGAAAATTGTTAGAAAAAAAGCATTTTTGATAAATAAATGCAATTTTTTTATTATGCTTAGAAAATTTAAAGCAATTTTATTAAATTTTATATTCTTCAAATTTTATAAAAAATATTGCGATAATAGCCTACAACATAATTGGATTTTAATTTAAACCATCGTTAATTTCAATTCTTCTTTCAATAAATTATTGGAATGGTGAGAAAAAATGATCTTTTGAAAAATTTCATGATAATTTGCGATAAAATTAATTTATTTCCTTTTTTAAGTAAATAAAAACTTTTTTTAGTTTATGATTAACGTGTTAATATCGCTGGCAAAAGAGAAAACTTCGCCACCACTGCATGGAGGTGAGTTAACAAATAAATATTCGCTTTCTCTCACCATATATCCAAAATAAATTATTTATAAAAAAAATTATATTATTTATAAAAAAAATAAAATTTTTTTCAGCTGCTTATGAAGAACTTGTTAACACAATATATAGGCAAAAGAAAATGAAAGAGAAAATTCAAGAATCATTTAAGAGAATAAAAAACGCTTTCAAGAAAATGCAAGAAAAATATGATGAATGTGAACGACTTAGCTTGTTCGCAAAATATGTTCGCTTGCAACAAATGATTAGCGAGGTGAATATTTTGTTATAAGTAATAATATTCTCCGAATTCCATGCTAATCTAGAATTAGCCGTAAAGTTATTTTTTCTAGGTCATTGTACTAGAGGAGCAGTATTGGCAATTGGTTAATGTACCCGAACCGCTAGGATCAGAATCTACTGTAGATTATATTAACAGGTAAACGATTTTGTGATCTGTTTTGTAGCAAATTTATTTGACCATGCAGCTATCGATAAAAACGATTCGGAATCGAATCGGTAAGTGATGAGGAGAAAATTAAAAGATTAAAAATAAAACTGAATATAAAAATGGATGGAAAAAGCTGCATAAAGATTAGGTGGAAAAATAAGTTATTATAAGTTATTGTTCTTGACGAAATATAAGTTTTCATCATTAAACTTTTCTCTCTTTAAGGTTTTTTTTAGTTTTACTCGCTAAAAATTTCCAGGATTATGGATGTCGTTGATAATTCAAAAGTTCCTCCTCGTAGAGGAATTGTTTCATTAATTGGTGCTGCGCTTGACTTTGATACCACAAAAAAAATGACGGTTTATGAGGCTATTAAAAGTTAGTGTCGCCTTTGATTAATGTAAATATCGGCTTTCCTTAATCGATCAAGGAAAAATATCGTTTCATTTTGTATAAAAAGTGTGGAATAAAGTCGTCGAATTTCCAGGGCTTTCAACTGATGAGATGCAAGCAGAACGTGATCGCCTTTATAACGAAATATATAGGTTGATAAAGCAATATTTAAGTCTAAGAATGGTATTGAAGCAATTATGTTCCAGATATCATGTCTCTTTATTTTTGCCAATATTTCCTCGATATAATCTTTTAAAGGCCCTCATTAAGAACACTCTTAGAGCACCAGTTTTTGTTGAAATTTGTCTTAAGCCAGACGACCAATCTTAAAATAAATTTTAAAATAAATTTAATAGGAAAGAACCAGTTCAGCGTAACGAATGAGCCTTTCAAACCACAAAACATAATTTATATTTTGGACAAATTAAGATTCAATGTTGAAGATTTTGTAAAATATCATTTTTCGACTTTTTCCAACGGAAATATCGTTTCACCGATTTTATAAACTATATTGTACACTAATTTATCAAAAAATTAAAAAGTTACACGAAAATAAATTAGCGTGCAAGAATTTTACCAAATATGATAATCAGTGTTATTTTAATAAATAATTGAGACACGATTGATTGTCAGATATATCGTTTCAACTGTCGTATCAGCAAATTTATTAATAATGCTTTAAAAATGATAAGCAAAATTAAAGTATTACTGTCCAAAAATGATAATCAAATAAGTGATAAGCACCGCTAGAACAGTCCAAGATATCATGTATGTATTTACGCATTATATGAATTTGTTAATAAAATCTTTTGGAAAGTTTTATTTAGAATTCCCTAATACTAATCAACTTCGTTTGTCTTCATATTTGAAAAATATTATTAAATTGATTTTTCTTATATATGTATATATTACAGGTTTTCCTCCTTTTTTTCATAATATAAAAATATGGATTCAATTTTAAATAAAGTAAATGAAAATATTTATTGAGCATGCATCTCATTAAAATTACTTTTTTCTAAAAATATTCTATTTCAAGCTACATTCAAACTCGAGCAAAAATTTGGATTAAACTCATGCATCTTACGAAACTCAAGTTTAACCAATTCGAATTGATGAAGAAACCTTTTAAGAATTTATATACCTGGAGAAAATTCTAGAAATTCGGTCAGATTTTCAGTCCTAAAAAGCTATTCAATTTGAAATATTAAGCCAATTTGAAATATTAAATATTCACTGGTTAAATCCCAGCAAGTTTCAGCAATTCTTAGAAAAATTCGAAAAATAAAAAATATTAATTGAAGATGTAAAATTTAATTCTTTTCCTTTAGCAGTTCTTCTTACTTTGCTACAAACCATTTAGAAGAATATCTTCGCCAGAGAATCATTTAAAGGTATTCATTTTCGATGTGGGTCATCAGCATGGATCTCATATTTATTGAAGGAATTTACTTCAATAAGAGGAATCACTCCAAGAGAGAGGAATCACTCCTATCGTCCTTTTGAAACGATACCATGCATTTTTTAAAATTCCGTCTTTGTATCCAAAAACTTTGAATTATTTATCTAAAATAATCCATATTTATCTAAAATATATTATTTCGCTGGACGAATAAGACAAATTTGATGTTTTCTAATCGTATGACGAGAATATTACCATGATCAAACATTTCAGTTGTTTTTTGAAAAAATTAGTGCAAATTAGTTAATGTGATTTCTTTACAAATATTTGGTTTCCATTTAGATGCAAGCCAGTACTTGCTTAACTTATGGTATACGCATTTTCACAGCACTTCTGGTGATGTAAAATTTTGCTACCGAAGAAAAGGTTTCTCTAGCTTGGTTTGAAAAAGAAAATCGAACACTAATTCGATATTTTTTGGCCTCTCGCACCATTTACAATGTATTATTATAATATATAACTTGTTTAAGAATCATATTTCATTCATTTACGAATAAACAAGGATATTTGAAATTTTTCTTTTGTTTTCACTCAACCAAAGAAAAATTTTGAACGGCTCAGTTATACAAAGGTCGGAAAATTTATGAAAATCCTTCTAATTTTAGATATAGCATCGGATCGAGAGGCTTAGAGACGTCCTTTTTTTGCAATCAGTGGAATCATTGCTAGAAGAAGTAATGAAGGTGTGTTACGCATTTTAATTACTAGCAGAACCATCAGTTCTTAAATTAATGCTATGGAATCAATTTTACAAAAGCGAATTACGGAGTGGATTGAATACAGTATGAGTGGCATAATTTTAATTTTTAATAATTTCAAATAATTGCAAATAAAAATAATTCTATGAAAAGGATAAAATTCCGTTTTCCGGTTCTTAAAATTAAAATATTTTTTCTATTAGTACGGAACGATAAATGACGATTTTACAAGTGCATATTTGCATATATACATATCCATTTATTCTCATTCCATTTATCTTATCCCACTTACCGATTAAACACCCAAAGGCATAATTCAAGCAATTCTTGGTGAAGTCAATTATTCTATTGTTATTTCAAGAATATTACGGTTTCATCAATATGCACTGAATTAATTTCGTTAATTCTATCTCTACCATATTCTTCAGAAATTTAGGAATCTCTTATGTATTAATCAAATAATTAATTGATTGCATCAAGTAAATTGCCTTGCAAGAATTTTTTAAAGATTTTTGCAGAGTTATCCGCAGTTTTTTTAGTAAATTTTCTTTGAAAATATTTCTAAATAAAAACATTTCTTGTTAATTAATTAATTATATGATTATTTTTAACTTTTTATTATTGCTTTTCTTTTTACTTTTCATTAATTTTATTGCCAAACAATTTCATTTTTTCTTGAACAATACAAGTGATAAAAAAGTGATAAAATTCATTGAGTAAATTTTCAATCTACTTTTTCAAATATTTTTGGCAACTTTAGCTAAATTTAAAATAAAAGTGAAATGAATAATAAATTTTGATGTGCTATTGATTTTTAATGTTAATTCACCGATAATATTTTCATCAAATATTGAGATATTAAATCACTGATAACTTTTCGCGACAGCAATGATGAATATCTTTTAAATTTTTGATCAATCAATGAATCAAATTCCTTACGATTTTGGCAAAAATTACTACAGTATTTCTTTCATATGAAATCCTTCTTTTCGCATTTACTTAAAAGAAATTTCCATGAAAAACTAATTTTATGCGATGCAAATTTCCTAACTTAGCAAGTAAATTGCACTTTGCAGTCCTTTTTAGCCATTTAATCGGATATATGGCAGAAATAATTTTCTTCGCGCAGTGTTTACCACTCCTGATCTGGCTGGCTCCACTTATCAGGAAGGGATCCCTCTTTGCCATAGAGCCACTTGAAGATAGAAGCATAAATGAGCGCGCACCAGCCCGATAGGATTGAAGCAATAAAAGGTGTTAAAAAAATAAATTTTAAAAAAATTAATCATCGATAAAAGTTGAGAAATGAAGGATGAACATAAAATTTTTAGTTATCGGTTTTTTGATATAAATTTTTTAAATTTAATTTTATTTAATTTCGAGGCAATATTGCGATATTTAAGCAATTTGTGCGCCTTTCCGAATGCAAAGCTTAATTAATAGCACTGCTTTGATGAATTTCCCATAGACAGATGTTTTCAATTTTCATTAATTTGAGCATGCATTTGAATAAGTTGTACATGAAAATATTAGTTTTATTTTTCAATTCAATGAAATAAATAAGTTTTATTAAAAAAAAAATGTAATAGATTTATTTTAAAATCTTAGTGAAAAATAAATAAAATATTTCAATTAATCAATAAAACGAAAAACTTTTGTGCTCGTTCGATCGAAAAATGACACTGAAAATGATAAATGCCTTTCATCGTAAAATTAGAAATTAATATTGAAATAACAAAAGAGTGATTTAAATATTTTTGATAATTTTTCTAAAGAAATTTGAGATCTTATCTTGAAATATATGCACAGAATTTTTAATGATTATCCAAAAATAAATTTACTCTTCGTTCAAAAATTGTGAATTTCATGCAAATTTAATTGCATAATCGGACAGAATTCATGAAATTTGGCCGAATGCCTGACACCATTCGATTTTAAAAGTTTATCATTAATTTTATCAAATGTTCAGTGGTCTATAAAAAAATTCCTCGTTTCTCAGTGCCCTAACTGATGTAGAACTGCAGATTTCATCTCAGGTCAACGAATTATTTTTTAAAGAGATTCTATCTTTTCATAGATGAAACATTAAAGTCATCGACTGCCCATCAGTTGGTAATCTAAATAATATGTGGCATTCAATAAATTAAACAAGTTTTGGAAAGCATTGTAGACGAATTCATTGTACATTGTAGTCGACGAATTATTCGTTGGATTATTATTATTTATTAACATTCATTATTATTATTTAAAGAGTTGAAATATTTAATATGAATTAATTGATAAATTCTGTGGTCGTTATTTTTCATGAAATAATTTCGCATTTTTCAATAAAAATTTTTAACAAAAATTAATCAGTTAAAATCTTTGTGATTATAGTTTTTAATTAGTTAAAAAATAACTAATTAATTAATTAAAAATGATATAAAATAATTAATTATTTATTGAAACTTATCGAATGATGAATACCTTGCAAAATTACGCTGTGGCCAATGTAAAAAGAAATACATAATGAGTTTAATCGGTTTTGTGATGTAAATCAGATCATATTATGAGAAAAAATCAGATCATATTATCTGTTCTATCTCGAATTCCCAGGTCTCGAATCTCTGTGGCTGTCCAAGCCATGCAAAATCAGTAGAATTAGCCAAGCCGAAAATCGTCGGTAAATTTTGTAACATTTCGAAGATCCAATAATTAAGAGTTTCGAAAAGAATTTTTCGCACTTTATTAGTCACTGAAATATTGATGAGGAAATTTTCTGAGTTTTCTCATTTTTCATTTTTTTGCAGTTGAAATACATAATAATTGATGGCTATGAATAGCAACATAGCAATCCTGTTCAGCGTTTCGTTCCACTTTAAAATCGATCGAACTTTCTTTCCATTCATGAAATTTGCCAATATCGTGATCTTCACGCTTTTTTCTGACATCTTTCCGTTTTCTTCCTTTTAATATTATTCGTCCTACATTTTTATGATACAATCAATCATTTCCCAGTCCTTTTGATAGCCTTGAAATTAGCATTTTGGTAGCTTTTTCTTTCCTTTTCTAAGGGTCCATTATGCGCAATGGACACAATTTCATTATTATTAGTACTTCTTTTTCTTCTATTTTCGCTTAACGAAACGATTTAGGTCATTAATTGCTATTAATTCACCTCCGATTATATAATAATAATAGCTTTTAAATGAGGGAAGGTAGCCCGGTGATCAATGAGGCTGATGGCCCCAGCAGATTTAACACTGAACGGAAATGTTTCTTTAGAAAAAAACAAATTTTAACGATCAGAACTATCTTTATATTTCAAATATAATTCTCTGTTGCATTCATTTTAGAATCTATTTTTTAGTAAAATAAATAATAATTGTAAAATATTCCATCTTATTAGAAATTCTTTCACGATTTGAAAATTTTCAACTTTTTTCCTGAAGATTTTTTCAGGTTTTATTCGTAAATGGAATGAGAAAGCAACCTTGTTAACTTATTTAAATAAGTTTAAATTGATTAAAATTAATCACCCAAATGGTTCAATATGCCAAATATGCTATTTGTTCCATTTTTTTTCTCCATACCATATTTATTGACGGTGATTACTGCGGCGAAAATCGAATACCATTCGGCTTTGACGTTCATATCAGTGGTCAGCCTTATTTGTTATGCTCGAGACCAAATTGTTTTGAGAAGAAATATTCAGTTAGTCATTACTTCGTATTCGTATTTACTTCGTACATCTTCGTATTTGTGTGCTAATAATGGAATTTACGTTATATATTTGTTAACCGAAGCCATTCTTGTGCTCATTATTCGTTTGCAAATAATGATGCAGTTGTCTTTCAAAAATTCTGATATTACTGGCAACTCACTGTTGCACTTCTATCCTCAGGTGACTTGGCAAAATTTTGCTCGCTGCGGCAGCTGAGCTTAATTGGCTAGGGATGCTCAGAAAAAATGCTAAAAAATATATTTAAAGAGATCATAGTAGCTTAAGTCATCAAAGTAAAAGCAATGGCGAACATATGTAGGTATGTATATAGAAAGTGTCGATGAATAAAAAAAGTCGATCTGTCAGCGAATCGTTAATTTTGCGAAATTTCTTTCGTCATTCTCGGATCACATTTATCATAGTTTTCCATCTTTTTCGCTGCTGATTTTTGTAAATATTTCTTTATAGAATTTTTGTTTTTTCTTCAGGGAACTTCTTGCTGAAATTATTTATTGAGACGAACAATAATGATTTACAACTCAATTGAAACTATAAAAAAATTTTTTTAAAAGAAAATTTCTCTTATTGAATTCGCTGATGAAAGAATAAATCACTGCAAATCACTAAAAATTTATAGCAGTTGTTGCAAATATTTTTAATTTTTTTAAGCATTTCGAGCATTTTAGGCCAATAGACGAATCAATGCAAGAAATTTAGCTACTTTAGAATCTTTTCTTTATACCCCAAATATTCCCGAAAAAATATCATTCTTTTTTACCGCTGATTTTAGTAGATCTGCGAAACAATGCCATCTATTTTTTTTCGGCTGACTTCTGTCGATTCTACGGGTCCCATTTGTTTTTCCAGCAGCTTATAAAAATTTCCATCTTTATCATTTACCTTTACCTTCATTTCATCTTTTTGAATTTTTATTTTTTTTAGTTGACATATTCAATATGAATGAGATAATTTATCAGCTATTTAACAAACTGAAAAAATAATTAAATTTAGACAATCGAAAATAAACGATTTTTGAACCAAATTGTACAAAATAATATAAAAAATAAAAATGGCTTAGTGTTCAATATATGGAACTGTAGCCTGTTTTTCTGAAATGGAGGATTTTCTAGGGATTGTCGAGGAAGGATAATGGGTTTAATAGAGTAGAGTTTTAATAGAGTTTAGTTTTCAAGAGAGTATATAATAGGGTGGTTTGAAAAAGGGTTTAAAAGCAGGGAATATGCAGCTAGAACCATGGAACAGATTGTGGTTACGGCTGCGTGCTTGCATGCTTCCCAAGTAGAAAACTTTTGTATATAGATTAAGAGACTAACAGATTTTTTATAGGTACCATGATAAGGATATGAGAATGCAGGTAAAAGCGGCAAGATATCAGCAAAACTTTTTCGTATGCAACTTAATTATAAATTATTTCTAAAGAAAAAAATTTGTGTCGAAAAAGAGAAAAATTTTCATATTTATTATAAAACAAAAAGCTTCCCTAATGGCAAAACTTTTTCGTGTGCAACTTAATCATAAATTATTTCTAAAGAAAAAAATTTGTGTCGAAAAAGAGAAAAATTTTCATATTTATTATAAAACAAAAAGCTTCCCTAATGGCGTTCAGTTATCTCATTGTTCTTACAGGATTGCGAAGATAGTGCCTTACGAACTTCTTGCGACGAAGACAACACGTGGATTGGAGGAATAAATAAAAATTACGGTCTTCACCAACCGTTAGTTTCATTAACATTATTCATGCAGTTATACATAATTTTAAAAAATCGTCCGAAATTTATTTACCATTTACCATTGCATTCTGATAATTCTGAAATTGATCGGAAATAATAAATGCAACATGCATTTCAAGAATATGTTGTTTAGAAGTAAAAATAAAATTCCTGTTTTTTACAGTTTTTGTTGCAATTAAAAAGCATTTTGATCAGATTCTGAAATGGGCTTTTTCATTTTCTGATTATGTGGCAGAGTTCACGAGCTCATACTTCTTGCTCTGGCGCATGCTACTGCGTCATATAATGCTCTTATCGTTTTCTCTCCGTTTTGTACCATCCATATATTTTTTCCTTTTACTAATTTCTCAAAAAAATTTCTTATTAATATGTCATCACTGTAAATTGAAAAATTATTGAGCAATTTAAAATAAATTATAAAATAATACTTATTTATTAATTAAGATTTTATGTATTGTGCTGTACATTTGATGAAATCACAAACCACTCGACTCCACCATTTACGATGATAATTCGTCCAGGCGAGTATTTCGAGGGAGAAGAACAAATGGATTCGACAAATGATGACGTTATCGCTTTTGATGTAATTACAAATCTGAAAAGATTTCGCGATACACCTAAAACGTATAATTTCAATAATATTTTTGCGATTTAATAATTTTTATCAGAATTAAAAGTACCGCAATTGCCGATTCATTCACTGTAATGTGGACTTTGCGGAATTTAAATTTTAGTGATTGCCATAGAATACTTTCACCTAAATTAGCCATATGTAATGTGCATTCACATGAAAAGTGATAATACAAAATATAAATACTCTTCCTATCGCATAGAATAGTTTTCTATCCCTCATCTTCCATAAACATTGTTGATACAGGTCTTAGCCAGCTATTACTTCTTCTAACAGCTCTCACCATTATTGGTTCGAGTGACTCCGCTGAAAGGATGAGACGTTTCTAAAATGAGACTGTTCAATCTGATGCCATCGCTGATAGTAGTAGAAGCCATTTTCTTTCCATCGTCTGAGTCCATATATCGCGTGACTATATCACTCCACACTCCATGTCTTGATTGGTTCGTCTCGCTTTTGTCACCATTTACCACATGATGGAAAATCGTTTAGCAAATAATGAATTGGTTTTTCAACTTCTACGTTGGGCAACGAAGATTGTGCAAAAATATTAATTGATAATTATCGATATTACTTACATATTCCCAGAAATTTCTATAAATTTCGGCACTTCACACGAAAAATTATTTTTAATGCTTATTTTTCCCCTACTTTGATTCTTTAATTTTTCTGTTTTATCTTTTCCTTCTAAAATTTTGCCTCTTTTTCTTCGTCAAAATTAAATCTGTCAAGATATCGAAAAAGCGAGTGGCTGCTGGAGACCTATTTGTAATTCCATTGCCAAATGAATCTATGGTAAAAAGATCCTATTATTACATCTTCATTGTATTCGCTTAAAATCTCCGACTCCCATTGGCGCAATGCCTTCCCTGCCTTATGGTATGCTCAATATTAATTTTTGTCTGATTGCATTGGCATACGAGATTTACTATATAAGCGAGATGCAAAGAGCTAAGCTTTGGAATGACTGGTCGAAGGATGATTTAAGAAAGTTTTATAAAATTTAAGCGGTAGTTTCTGGTAAAGCAAAAGAATGAAGTTAAGTTTGGCGTAATGAAGCAAAGATTGTGAAATTGAATAAAGTTTAATGAAGCTAAAAGTCTTAAAACTATAACAAATTATTGTAACTGGTTTTCGAGGATATCAAAAGGTTTCAACTCATGAACATATCGAAACTAATAGCTACTTTTTTCGGTATTTAAGCAAATTTTTTGCAAAAATGATTTAATAAAAATGAGATTCTTTTGCAGATATGCATATAATTTAACTATTCAAAGACTTCGTTGCTCGGAATTTGAGGAGAAATCAAACGAAAATAAACGAAAAAGGTGGCCATGAGAAAAAAGCTTAAGTATTATTGTATGGAAGGCGTATTTTTTTCAAAGAACATTTCGTAAAGCTTTTTGAAGAATATCACTGCATAAATTTTGAATTTGTTCCCGACGATTTGAACTATTTGGTAAGCACCAACTCTTAAATTAAGCTTATCGAAACTTTGCAAGAAAATTGCTGGAAAATATCTTATAAAATTTCCAAATTCCACAATGCAGGTTGTCGCCACCTTCGTTGAATTTTCTTTTTTCATACGACATGCCACATTTATTAGAAAACCATATGAATGCAACGATGCTGTCTTCGCGTCAGTCATTTCTTTACAAAAATCTAACAACTATCGAAAAAGACAATTTTTTTGCTTTAGATTCAATTCCATATTTTTGCTCGTGTTCTACATAAATTCTCTATATTTTCAGTGGATGCTAGGCCAAGTCCTGAGCAGCGAGCAGATCGCTTGCCATACCTTAAATATGGAAGTGAACCATTTCCAGTTAGGCTAACAGCTGCATATGAATAAAATTATATAATAATTTATCAAATACAAAAAATTCAATATAAATGAAACTTAATTTTTATACAATCGAGGATTATCGCCTTTAAACAAATGAATTTCTATCTTTACTGGCAAATATCTTAAAATTAGATGCTTTAAAATGTTTTAACAAAAATGTTTTAACAACAAATTGCCTTTGCCTTAATCTTTCCATAAAAATGTCGCTAACTCGTAGAATCTTAAAAACAATGCAATTCTCGGAAGATTTCGGACGATTGATGCAAGTTAATGGAGAATTTTAGAAGGCTGCTGAATATTTAATACAACTTCCATCAAATGACACTTTCTTGTCTAAAAATTTGAATAAAGCGATATTAGTTATTAATTTTGAAAGCGGAGGATTTGAACCTTTTCAGATGTGTTAGTAGCGAGGATCATTAGCATTACTTATTTATCGCACGTTCATGCGATCTGAGCGCAAATAACCATCTTATAGGAGAATTTTAAGAAAATGTGTCAAATTACGAAAGGTGATTGGTGATCAGAGAGAATAGTTGAACGAAAATGGAGTCTTGCTTTTGCTATCCCTTTTTCTTTCTTTTAAAGCCATTTAAAATAGAACTGCAGATGAGTCTATTAGCATGAGATGGACTTCATGATTAGATTCATTCTCGTCAAAGGACGCAAACTGAATCGCTTATTCTTACTCGAAGCAACATTTCCGTCCTACTCATTCATTAATTTACTTAAGGACTTCTTTCAAATATGAAGTGTTAATTAAAGATTAGCAAAACCGCAGTTTTTAATAATTTATATAGCAATTTGTAAAATATTTAAAAACTAAAATTTACGTCTAGGAGAATAAGAAATGACTAGAAATATACTGTAAGAAGAAAACTCTGTCGTGACTGACGAAACGAAAGATGATTTTAACTAAATTTTATCGATAAAAAAAGGAAAAATTAATCACAGGAAAAAATGAACAAAAAAGTTTGTCTCTTGCTATCTCTTTCAGTTATCAACTTGCGTTGCTGCTGATTATTGGACAGGTGCCCCAATATTGAAGAGTGTGGAAAAGACGACAAAAAAAGAATAAATTAAAAGTGATTTTAATTAAATTTTATCAAGCTACACTTATCGACAAGTCTTGACTTTAATTTCGCAAAAAAACATCGGAGAGTCTGATTATCTTCTCTGCCCGTTATCAACTGTATATTGCTAACAATATAATTAAAAATATGCTTCTTGACAGATAAAAAGAAAACTTTGATAGAAATCTGCAATGAAACAATATTAAGCCAGAAGAATGAACAATGGAGATTGATATATGAATGGGAATTTTCATTTATAAATCAAGTTTTCAGAAATTTCATCCTTCTTTTTTCATTATCGATCAAAAGATTGCTGGTAATGATAAAATGATAAAAATTAAAACGTTTTGGTGATAAAACCTAATTGATAAATCTGCAATATAAATTTTACATAAATTTTCATATAGAAAGAAATTCATGGCTTTTTAGAAATAAAAAAATTTTTTTTTATCGAAAAATTTTCATTTTCTTCATCGAAAAATTTTATCAAAACTTTGGTTTTATTTCGTTATCATACGATTAAAAAAGATTAGATGGAAACTAAAGCTGAACAAAATACAGATGAACTTCTTTATAAGGCAAAGGATAGGCTAGAATGGTCAACAATATTTATTTTACAAAGGATCAGGTTGAAAATAATTTTCCTTTCTTCTTGAGCATTGCATTCATTAATTTTCGAACAAATAAGATTTAGAGAGTGGGTGAAATTGATAAGATAAGAAAAAATTGGAAGCAAATACGAAAACTTGAAAATTTTCACTTTGGCGATACTTATATTAAGGAATCTACTAAGCATTTTCGAAAAGTTTTTTTTACTAATTGTCAATAAATCTGAAAATTTAGGAAATGATTTGCTGCTTATTGGTATACCATTTCCGATATGCTATATATCAAATATCAAATATATATGTCAAATAATTTAGAATTTTACATTTTAAACAATTTTATGTAATTATTATCTAACAGAGACATTATAGCTTAAATTTGAATATTTGCTAGAAATATGAATTGATAATAACTGCGTTGAGGTATTATTAGAATTGTTAAAATTAATGATAAATTAATGGCGAATGATAAGGATAAAATGGTTTTTGAGGATAAAAGGAAATTTTCTGAACTAATGATCGTATTAATGATAGCAGTGAAATAATATTGATAGAAGCGATGATGATGGCTGGCAATCCGATTTTTATCCCAATATTATTATTTTGAGAATTTTAAAGCTAATTTTACGCAGGAAATGTGGAAATTCGCATAGTGGTTCGCATAGTGGTAATTATATGTTATGATGATTTTTTCAAAACAGATTTTAAAGATTTTTAAGATTTCTCAAATGAATTGAAAGGAAATATAGGAAATAATCGAGTCTATAGTATATGCAAATATAGCTTAAATATATGAAAGTTTTTTACCATAATTTGAGAAATTTTAAAAAAATAAGCAATTTATATTAGTAATTTTCCAAGATCCTCCATCATTCGCTTTTCTCAGGTTTCTTCCACCAACCATAACAATTTACGGGAAAATAAATTCATTCATCAAGCAACGTAATTCATCACGCGACGATATCATTTCAGAAGAAACCTGAAGAATAAAACTGCAAACAGTTAAGAAAATCGAGCTTATTAATGACCTTCTGACTATAATGCGAAAATAAATGTTTACTTCTTTTCATCAGGCTTACTCTGTTCGCTTGTCAGGTAAATTTTGCTACAGAATCACTTGGCCAAAGAAATACAAATGAGTCGTTGTCTAGTCCCTTATAAAAAAATTTTACTACAACGGGACTACTCAACTCAATTCTCGAAATAAGAATAACTGAGCCATTCTATAAATCTTATAAAAATGGATTTTCATTCAGATTTCAGATTTTTTTAAAATTTTATTAACTAAAAGGGCAAAATCCGATTCGAAAGGATAACACCCAGAAGATATAGAAATAAACTGATCTAACAAGCGAGAAGGACCACTCAAAATATGGACTGATACAGTCAGGAAAGATTTTGAGCATAGGTGGACCAGTTAGAAAAAGTAGTTAAACAGTGGTGTCGGACTGAAGTCGTTTGAAGACGCTTTACTCTTGTAGGCAGCAGAGCCAGCTTAATCAGCGATGGTAAGAGTGGGTCAGAAGGAGAAGATCTAACAGATCTAGACGTATTGCCTGGGGATACATTTTATATAACTACATAATCAAACAATGTCTCTTTCTTTATTTAATCAGAATGCTCAAAATTCTCAAATTTATCTGATTTCTGAGCGATCATTGGATTAAAAATATTAATTTTAAGAAAGCCTGTTGTTTGCATCGTTAATTATAGTGATGTGCGGAACGACAGGGCTAGTAAGCCGTATGGCGAAAATGTTGGGTCGATAACGATATGTCCAGTTTTGGCACTTCTTGCAGTATCATCCGTTGAAACTAGCCTTTCGCATATCAGTGAACGCTGGATTTCGATTGTGTATTTAATTTGTTCACATCACAGTTAAGGATTTCTCGTAGTTATTCGATATCCGATAAATAATTTGCTTTACGCCCATTTTAGACCTTCTTATATCATAGTCCTTCTTTTATATATCGAAGAAAATGCATTTAAGCCTTTATTCAAGAAGTTTCGTTTCCCAGGTTTTTTTCCAGGGTCCATTTTGACATAATCTGAGGAATGAGGAACAAACCAAATCTGAAGTGATGAATGCTGTCGAAAAACAGAGAAAATTAAGGAATACTTGAATTATTCTGCTTAAATTTGACATTAGGTATTTATATGGATTAGCCTAATGGCCCTTGCAATAGTTGTAATTATTTTCGCCGAGAAAGCTATCGTCAAGTGCTTAAACAACAGCGAAACTGTAAGGTAGTAATACTTCACTGGTAGTACTTCACTGGCTTTTTGCAAAAATAATTACTTTATAAAAAATAAAATTTAGGTAATTACTGGCTTTACTGTGTTTTACTTTAGTATACCATTATTTAATACCATTATCATTACCAGTTAACGAAAATGTACAATATGGACCTGGCGAAGATTGTTTGGTCTCTTTCCTGTAAGTCATTCAACTTTGGTTCTGAGTTTCACAATTCACAGCATTTGCCACTCCTTACCTATTTGTAGTATTTGTTGTCGATTAACATTAGCGTGTGGACAATTTGTTAAATTTCTTATATTAAGAAACTTGGAACCAGTTGATGGGGAAGCCAGCATTGATAACAATCAAACACATTCTGCTGAACTCGCCATAGTTCCATTTCCAAGTCAAACATTATCTCTTTTCGCTTTTTTTATGCGATTACAACTCACAAAAATTTGTAATTTACTTATTTCAGCTCAATTTGGTGCCTTGGCTTCTAGCTCGGGACTCGTTCTTAAATACCTGGCTTCCGGCATTGTTAGCATCATTAGGAGGGTATAAATCATTGGCAGAGGGTCGAGCGAGAATTCGACTCCGTTTTCAACAAGAAATCGCGCTCTTTTAGTCGAAGGTATACCTTTTTAAACACTTTTCGTGAATTATATTTCTCTCATCTCTTCTGATCAGTTCATAGTGACATAAATAAAGTTTAGGCCGAAATTCGTCAAAACTTTTCCTAATAAGCAGAATCCATGCCCGATTTTCTATGCTCGATTATTCCACTTTCATCATATCTATATTAGTGATTGTATTAGTGATTATGACAATAAATATAGTGCTGCTAAATATATGTTCTGTTCCGAAAAATTCAAAAATTGGATAATATCCAAAAATAAAGGAATATGGCGAATTCGCTCAAAAATTTTTGGCAAATTGGCAAAAAAATCGTTTGCGTAGGTCGGAATTATAAGGTTTAAAATGTTTTCTTAATTTTTATTCGTGGTTTTTATTTCTTTTTTCATTAATTTGCCCTCTTTTCTGCCTGTTTTTTATGAAATTTATGAAATTTAAATAATATAATAAATAAAATATAAATTTTTATAAAATTTCTTTCATTTTCTTTCACTCTCTTATTTTTATTTTTTTACAATATTTCTCACTTGTATTTCCTTTTTTGCGAATTTGTTTTCCCCGAGGGGCGTCCATCTTTTCAGATTTAACTCGTCTCACCGCCCAACCGTGCCAGGCATCTTTTTCCGTGCACTCGCTTTCTGGACGGTAGAAGTAGGGGTGCGCCAGCACTGTTGTTCGGGTTCCTGGAGAGCTAGGCTTATTCCTTCCCGGAGTCCGCTCTGGCAGTCCACCGAGAGCTGTGCTTAGTACCGTCATCCTCCCCTTAATTTTGCTTTTATTTTTAGTTGTGCTATTGTTTTTACGAAACCTTTATTTATTGTTATCGTTTTAAACGAAACAAAATAAAATTTTGGCAAGCAAGGAACATCGGTCTGATTGTAGATCCGTGACAGGAGTAAATTTATTACAAAATTTGAAATTTGGCTAGCTGTTTTTGACTTTTGACTATCATAATAATTTGTCTTTTTAAAATTTATTTTTTTACCTTTATATAAATTGATAATTGTTATTTAAGGTCTCGAAAAACTAAGGCTGGTGATATACCATGGCGTTAGCAAATATGGATAAATAGAAAAGTATTTTGCAGGATCACGCATTAGAATTAGGCAATGTAGTACCAAGGAAACCAATATTTTTTTTGAAATCGACGAACAGCTACGTGATAGAAGATCAGCCGATTTTAATTCCACCTGGTTGTGTGAATTTGCATCAAGAAGTAGAACTTGGTGTTGTGATTGGTAAATTGGCTAAAAATGTAAAATCTGTCGATGCTTTTGACTATATTGGAGGATACACGGTTGCTTTAGACATGACTGCCAGAGATTTACAGGTAATTTTATTTATTTTTTTTAAATCTTTATTTAAATATTTTGTTTATAATTTTTATAATTATTTCGTCTAAGTAAAACCAAGAATAAGAAGGTTGTAAGAAACGTCTTTTTCCAAATTCATCAATTTATTTAGTTCAATTCCAGGATGAATTCAAAAAAGCAGGAAACCCATGGTTCATTGCCAAATCTTTTGATACTTCTTGCCCAATCACAAAATTTATCGATGTTAAAGAAATTATCGATCCTCATCAAGAAGAACTATTTTGTAAAGTAAATGGCAAGGAACAGCAACGATGCAAAACGGACAAAATGATCTTCAACATACCATTTTTGCTTGAATATTTAACACAATATGTTACTTTACAAACAGGGGACTTGTTGTTAACAGGCACACCAGCTGGGGTAACTCAAGTGAATTCTGGTGACATACTCGAATTTGGTTTAGAAGGCAAGTTAAGAGCTAAATACAAGGTTTTATGATACATATGAATGAAAATGAAAGCATTTTCTTATGTTCCGAAAGTTTTTCTAAAGAAAAATTTTGTCGGTTTCGATCCATTGGTGCCTTTATTAATTTGAAATTTATCGCCTGTTCGTATTTTTTAACTATATTTACAAGTGCATAAAGTTATTTTATATTATGTTATGTTTTATTTCAAGGTATTTTTTTGCTTTTTGTGCCTTTTATGTTAGGTTTGAATCGTATAAAAAAATTTTAATGGCTTGCTTAATGAAATCGTACGGTAAATAAGTTTTAATAAGTTTATTTTTACAACGCACTAAAAAGGATTATCAAAAGAAAAGAGAAAGAGAATTTCTCATCTCATCATTAAAAAAGAAAAACCAATACCAACATTCATAAAAGATGAAAAAAAGAAATTAATGAAAGTAAGTTTAATCTCATTTTTTATTTATTAAACTTTTAAATATGTATTTCAAAGTGTCGATATATTTAAGGGGAAAGTGTGTATTAACAAAATGTGAAAAAACGCAGATCGCAGATCTCTAATTCATAACCGACTTTTTGAATCAGTCATGGTGAATTGATCTAATTCTTTGGCGCATACATCACAAAAAAAGCATTGAATACCTTTTCAGCAGCAGTGGAAAAAAAAATGGAAGGTTCGCTCACAAAGAAATGGTGAACTAAAAATTCTCGTAGATTCTACGAGTACCTTTAAACCACAGAATAGATTCCTTTAAAAACCAACTGCAGGTGTAAATATAATTTCCAACAATTCATATGATAAATATTGAGTTGGAATATCCACTTCGAAAACAAAAAAAAAATGTAAAATATACAAAACTGACGCATTTTATTATTTCTTTACCAAGTTTTCACACATAATTTACGATTTTTGCCATGTTTTGATGCATGACCTACCCTTTTTATCAAGTTTTGATGCAGGAATCACGGCTTTAGAAGTATATGTCAACTCTTAGAATACATATCAATTTTTTAAAATATTTTTCTGAACAAATGAATGGAATAAGTAAGTACATCAATTTTTATAAAACAGCGTTATACCATAATATTTTATATCTGCAAAATTTTTAGATCTTTATAATATTTTTTAAAGCTATACCATCGATATTGTTACATTGATACCAAGATTACCATTTTCAGCAAACAGCTGAGCTGTTTGCGTATCAAATGCCATACAGTCCGATAAAGATATAGCATGAGCAACGCCTTCATGAATACTTCTTGGTGAAGCTTCCCAACTGAATCGCCTCCTGTGAGTAGCAAGTTCTAATCTGAAAACCATATTTTAAAACAAAAATGAATATGAAATATGATATATGTTTAAAAACTAAAAAAATTTGGAATAAAAAACCGAACAACGTTGATCTAATTAAATCTCTACCTGTACATGAAATTTTCGGACTCTTTTTTGGCGCCTATAAGTTGCACGACAGCATAAAACATTTGATTCCCATCTTGAAATTTTTCTTGCTTTTCAAGAACTAACATAAAATGATATCCGAAACACGACTGCATCATGACCCAGTCAACAGCACCAGGTAAGTTAATATCAGTTGCCAAGAAAACAATGTCTTCGCCTTTAATTTGCATTAAATGGATAAATGGATATGGATATTTAATGTGGATAAATGCATTAAATAGGAAAGACTAAATTAAAGAATATGAAAAAGAGAACCTTGTAATGTGGTAATTGATTTATGAACCTTCATTAAATGACCCATGACCTCAGAGAGATTACCTTGCCATTTGCAAGAAGCACCAGGACATGGACAACAGTATGGTCTAAAAAAAATAATTTAATGAAAAAGATTTATAAAAAGACTTTCTAAAATGAAAAATTAACATATATAATAAAGAAAATACAGAAAGAATTCGAGAAAAAATATCTTAAAATATCATACTGATAATAAAACAGAAAAAAAACGAACCGATGTTCACACAGTTCTTCATGTTCAACTTTTTCAACATGAGAAAAAGTTAAGGGACAACCTGACGCAGCGAATTTACAAGGAAACATAACCGTGTTTGCAATCTTTTCAAGAACCAAATTTCGAACACTTGCTGTAAAAAAAAACAAAAAAATTTGTAAAATATTTCATGCAAATTATCGGATCATTCAAAAAAGTTTGTTTTATGATGTTTATTTTGAAAGACATTGCCTTTGCAAAGTCATTTTTTCCAAGTCTATTTTAGCCGGAATAAACACTAAACATTACACATCTTTCGCAACATGACGCATTTTTTCCATTTGCGAAACCAATCCATTCCAAAACCAATAAATATCTGGATGTTTTCAACAACTCTTTATTTCCAAAAGTTTCTAAGCTTCTTTCTAAGAAAATGTAAAAGAAGTAAAAGCGAATGTTCAGATGATGGATGACTTCGACATTCATCGCAGTAAATTTTTGCAAAGCGATTTTTAAAACGTTTGATCTAGCGTTGTTGTAAAGAATCAAAGGATTTTTCCTAGTTGTGGATAGTGTGTTTATTTCTGGACTATTTCCAACTCTTTATTTTTTATTTTTTTTTAATGCAATCGTTTTATCAGGTTTTAAGAAGCTATCCAGCAGTAGATGAATATACAAATATACAAATAGAGTTTTGGATTGGATAGAGGACTCTCATCCAGCTATTACTGTAATCTTTACCTATTATCATAAATCTTCGTTAAAAACAAAAACTAAACCCAAAAGAGGTATTTTTCAACATATCTTCATCTAATACTCAGACAATTCGTAGGATAGGCATTTTTTCCTTTTCCCGATCACATGGATATGAATCTACTCACTATCAGCAGAAATTCTAAGCATTTGTACTAAATTTGCATAGATCCTTCTAGCATTAGTCTTTATTACTTCATTTTCTTGAGGATTCATCTGGGGATTTAAAGGAAACGTAACTTCAAGATACACATATTTCCGGACTTAAAAACGAACAGTTTTGTTCTTTTTCCTTTTTTTTCCTCAGATGTATTGTTAAAATCATTGATGTTCTTCTAACAGCTCTCACCATTACTGATCAGGCTAGTTGCGCCAGATACAATAGTAAAACTTTTCTAAGCTACGCGATGTGATGGCATCGCTGACAGTAATAGAAGCCATTCCTTTTCACACCCACTAAATCCATATATAGCTGGCCCACACATAAGTTCAAAATCGTTCCTAAACGTACCACACCAGGTCCTGAATGGTCCTCCATGCTTTTGACGCCATCCAAAGTTTAGGTAAGTAACGAAATATATGCCAGTTCCTGTGGTAGGCGACGAAAAACGTGCTCTAATTAACGAAGGTGCCGCTCTGTTAAAGCAGTACTTGAGATGGATGATTATTTTATTCGCTCGGCCCATAAAATGTATCTTAGATATAAGTGATCAAAGGGAGATAACTTGTTAATATCCACCACTCTCATCGACTATGTCTCGCAACAACAAGATCGAGCGAATGCAGAGCGATGACTGCAGCTATGTAGATGCGAACTTTCATTTTTACAATAACTTAGTGATTTCGCGATAATTCCAAAAAGGTTTCCAACCAGAGGAAAGCATTTCTAGCCAGCGAGTTAGAAATTCATCTTCCGCTTGGCTGTTTGGGATTAGGCAGAATGTTGCTATTATTGTTATTCTGATTTTTATTACTGCATATTATTATTAATATATTTCGAACTATCGCCGTCGTTTGATTTAGTGGTTTGGACTGAAAAATTGCAGATCTCGAAAATCTCACCTTTCCAAAAATTTTCTATACCAAGAAAAAAAACAAGAAGTCATAAAAATACGAATCTGGACAAAAATATGACCGCAAACACAACAAAAATCTTAGGGACTTTTTGAATGACCCAATAGCATCAACAATATATAAGGATAAAAAACATTTGATTAAAAATATTGTACTGGAAACTTACGAACTGGTCCGCGACAAGTAGGACAACAGGTAAGTTTTGGACGGCAGTTTCCACAAACCAAATGTCCACTCTGACATTGTAAATAAGGTGGCATCATATAATCCATACAAACTGGACATTCAAAAGCAGATAAAACCTGGAAAATTTCGATAATGAAGAGATTTTGGAAATTAGATTTTATTTTCATTTTTCCTCTCGTTAAATAATAGGATAAACTATTTTAAAAAATAATAGAGTAAAAATCTCAGAATTAATTTACAACGATATAATAATCGAACTGTTTTTTTGAACTGAAAGCTAGAATTGTGTCTTTGGACCTATAAGAAGAAAAGAACCTCAGGATTTGCATTTTGAGTAAGTGCTTGTGGCGTCGGGATGGAAAATTGTGGCGCTACACTCTGCGTTGTTATTGGACCGCCTAGGCAATCTGTAAATATCAAAAAAAAAATATACCAAATAAAAGCAGTGAACATATTGAAGGTCAAAAAAAATCTTTAGAGGTTTACTTAAATAAAATAGAAATGCACAGCGATTACTGCAAATAATTGTTTCATTTAAGCAAATCTTAAGTGAAATCTTCCCAGAGGAAAATGCAAATTTAAGCAGAAATATTTAGCAATAGAAACAATAGCAACAAAACAGCAACTAAATAAAAAAAACAAATAAACACTTGTTTAAAAATAAATGGAAAACGAACTCGAAGGAGTTGACCCCTGAACTCGTCCGACAGTCTTCGGCTGTGGCGTAGCAATTCCTTGATTTGCTGCACTATTAATTAACGCGTTCGTTGAATTATTCGTTGTGGTTGTTGTTGTTGTTGACAATGACGACGATGACGATTTATATTCAACATTCATTGAATTTCTATGGATGTGGTTTAAGAAAATTTATAGAAAAATAAGCTTTTCATAAAAAAATAGAAAACCACGTATTCGACTAATCAGCTCGGCAATAATTCGCATACATTCTCATCTCTGACCTTTGCCTTTTGCTTTGCCTCAACTATTATGCATTCCTCAACTATTGTTCTCCTCTGCAGCTATTTAAAAGCACCACCTCCAAACCTCTTCACCCCCCCCCCCCCAACTCATTTCAATCTCCATCCGTGGTGACGGATACCTTTCCTTGCCCTCCCACTCCGTTCTTCTTTCACCTAAACCTTCCCCACATGCCTCACTATGAAAAGAGAACACCTGACATTATTGAAGAAAGTGCAATTGGGGCTGACCGAACTTATGGTCTATAAGAAACACATTCCCATAAAAAGTTCAGCTCGGAAAAACTCGATACTTTGCTAAAAATTATTTTATGCGTGAATTATTTCTAGATTGCTCAGTTATTTTTTCTTCTTCAAAGTTCTTTTCCATTTTTAAAATTATTTATGCCTTGTTAGAACTCACGATGAGTTGACCTTTTGACCTTTCGCGAAAGCTATTTTCAAGCAAAAAATGTAAAGCGAAAAATATCAGTTTTCGAAATTGTGTGTTCCATTTGTCATTTGTTATTATTTAGCGATTATTGTTCGCCATTTTCATTTTACGGTCTGTTAATAGAATGGAAGATAGGGTTTCGCCAGGTGGCCAGCCACTTGGAAGACGGAAATATGGGTGATTTCCGTCGGGCTTTCCGGTGAGTCGTTTTACTTTTGTCGAAGCTAAAGATGCGTCCGTGCTTGAGGCGGTAATCTCAGCACTCGGCTATCCTTCCTCCCAACAACGACGAATTTTCTTTTTTTAGAAATGCTAAATAACAGTAATCGATCGATTGAAAAATGAGTGCGAAGTATAAAGAGAGGTAAGCTTATCCCCACTGGAACTTTCCATGCAAACGTCCAGTGATTTTTTTTTAGTGGATCCTTATTGAAATTAAATTAACTGTTTTTATATTTGGCAGTTGATTTAATTTTTGTTATTAATTTTCATATTTTTCACTATTTTTGCTAATTTAATAATAATCGTTATTAAATTTTAAATTTGATTATTTAGATTAGCGCAACTTGAATCGACGTTACTTCTCGAGAAGACGCATATCGATCTAAATGATCTACGAATTTCATGTAGTTATGGTTAGTTAGTTATCTCTTTAATGATTATCTCTTTAATTAGGTGAAAGGCGAATAATTCTATCTTTTTCGTCTGCAAATTATAGGATTTCCGGATTCCTAACTTAATCCTTAAATTCCAACTGTGAGCTTCGTTCTTATCACTTTCGTCATTCGATGAATGTTTCCAGTTTGTCAGTTAAATTTTAAGCGATGTTATAGGCATACCGGATGTTTTGCGTCCACTTTGTTGGCGTTTATTGTTAAACTATTTGCCTTTGGAACGGCATTCTTGGCCGATTTATTTGCATAAACAAAGAGAAAATTATGACAGACTTGTCGACGATGTTATTGTTCATCCTGGAGTGTCCAGCTGTACAACGGATTGTGCGAATGTTAATGATCATGTATGATTTTTTTTCAGCCTTTTTATTTCATTTCAGTGTACATTTCAATTAATGTTCTTCTCGCTAAGTTTTTTCTTATTTTGCCTTTTATATATTTTTCTCGTTATTTTTTTCGAATTTTTTTGCGAAAATTCAAATTTCAGGAAAAATTTTTAGTGGAACTGCAAGTAAAATCGTATGATAATCCTTATTAAAATTAAATGTATTATTTTTTTGAATTCCAGCCTTTGAATGAAAGTCCTCAAAGTGAATGGAAGAATTATTTCAAGGATAACGAAGTATTAATTCAAATTGATAAGGACGTTCGTCGTCTTTGTCCAGAAATTGATTTTTTCCAACGTTTTACTACTTATCCCCACAGGTATTAAATATATTCTCACTAATTTTATGTTTTTAATAGTTTGTTAGCTTTTTAACTTTTTAATAGCTTACTTTCAATGGCAAAACTTTCGCAGTTATTTTGTTATTTTCTTTTTCCTTGATTCTATTATATTAGCTGCTAATAAAAAAGAGAAAATAAAATGTTTAGAAAATGAAGTTAATGAATTGGAATTATCATCTTTTTGCATTTAGTTAAATATTATTGCATATTTGCCTCAGATCGGCTGCCAAAATGAATCTTTCTCAACGCATTCGTCAAGAAACGTTACCATCTGAAACTTACGAATCAAATAAATTCACTTCTACCGTGAGTTTTTATTTTTAAGTTACAAGCGACTATGTATTTATATAGAAAAATCTTCTAACTGCTCATAATCACATAAAGGCATCAATTAGTCCCATAATCAATCGCGTAATTTTCAAAATGCTAAATTTCAATTTCATTGAAATATTTAAGTCTCTCGAACCTTAGCTAACTTTTGTCATAGAATTTCATTTTCTGCACCAAGCTTTTCATTTTTTAATTTTTTATTTTTTTTCTTTTAGTTTTTTTTCCTTTTCTTTTTAAGAATGCACCATTATAGATTAGCCTGGCTGCATCGACTACAAGGCTGAGTCATTTCCTTAGCTCTCGATCTCGCCTCTCCTTAATTTATCGTCTAAGCCCAACTGTTTGCGTGGTGTTTATTCAAAATCTTATCAGGCTAGTCCAGTCCGTGATTGGCATTGTAGGTGACTTTTGAGGCTATCTATCACATTTCTTCTAACAACACCTCTCATCATTACTGGTTAGGCAAGTTGTGCCAGATACAACGGTAAAACGTTTCCAAGATGCTCGATCTGATGCGCTATCCATCGCTAGTAGTAATAGAAGCCATTCCTTTTTTTATCATCTAAGTCCATATATCGCTGGTCCTCCTATACATTCAAAATCTTTTTTGACTGTATCAGTCCAGGTATTGACTGAGATTTTCGTCTGCTGCATAATTATTCGGAATAAGATTAGATATTTGAAAATTTATGCATCTTCAGTTGCTTAGAATTTTGTGAATGAACTAAAATTAAATATAGGAAATAAAATAATAAATATAATAATAAATAATAAATAATAAAATAATAAATATAGGAAATAAAAGCACTTATCATTAATTTTTTAACAGAAGAAAAAGAGGATTTTCTTCTAATAATTCTCATTATTACTGTTTAGGCTGGTTATAAGGATAAGATATTTCCAAGCTGAGCGGTCTGATACTACTAGTTTTTATCTCTAAAGGATCTTTCAGTTCCACATGTACACATACACAGACCTGTGCAGGCATATACTGATAGAATGTCTTTATGAGTCGAATTATCTCCTCTCGAACATCGTCGCATTCCATCACCCTCCAAAGCGCCATTTTATCAATTGAGTCGAAGACAGTAAAGTCGATGAAGCATGTAACAGTGGGTTGCAAATATTTAAAACGACATTCCAACTCTTCTCAACTTGAATATTTGGTCAATACAACCATTTCCCGATCCAAACGCGCATTGTGCTGTCCATCTTGTACCATAAGTCTACTGAGTAGAAGGGAAGCAATGATTATTACAATATTTCCTGCCACCTTCCTTACGAATTCGGCACAGAATTGCTTTGTTCCACTCATCTGGTATTATTTCTTTCTTCTTTCTTCAATACCATAGAGTGCATTCATTGAAGGAAAACCCAGGACTACTCGAGTGAATCAGCTATGTCCAGGACAACATCGTGGTTAAGTTTGGCCTCAAAAAATTCCTTCTCCATTCCACAGCGATCTTTAAAATTTTTAACAGGTACACTACTGCTATCTCGTACCATTTCATTGATCGTTCTTTGAATTATAGTTATTTTATAAAAAAGGCGGAATAGTTTTCTGTTATTGTCTAATCGAGCAGCCATCTCCATTTCCAAGGTCATATCATGTCAATAATGATTTCTGTCTCGGACTGCTGCTGTTGTAATTCTTCAAAGCATCTGATAGTATTTAATAGAATGACGGGATCTCCTGACATTCTTGCGTTAGCAACTTTTTCGGACGGCTGAACAGTTTGTTCCCAATATCCAAAATATCCAATTAGCGCATTTCTTACTCGAATATTCTTGCGAGAAAGTGGCTAACTTTCCACGATATGCCTTTTTAATGACCAGTCTTCACCGTTTAAAAAATGTCGCTGATATTTATATCGCTGAGATGCTACTGTAATTCGATTTGAAATGTGCTTACTCCCCGGCTTAATCTTTTAGTTTGAGATAGTTGAAAGATCTTGGAGAAATTGTCAATTTTATATGGATTTTGGCTTGAACCACCATAAAGTTAAAGAGGATATAGTTCTTTTTTTGGCATTTTTTGTTTTTATATTTACGATTATTTTCTGAAAATTTCGAATTACTTATCTGAAAGTCATATTTTATTGCCTTTCCGTTGCAATTTTAAAAGTTATTTAAAAATTTCTGCAAGAAAATATGTATTATCTTTAACTTGAAAAATGAGGAAATATTTTTTCTACTAAATTCTTCAAAATTTCTGAATCGAAATAAGACAAATTATCGTCCGCATTCATTCATTCAAATTACTCATCTGCTAATGAAACGAAGTTCTTTCCATACTCTTAAACTACCACTAAAGATTTGCATAAAACTTATCAATATTCCTAAGATATAAAATATAATTCTTTTAACAGCACGCACCATTTCTGATTTGGTTGACCGTTGGGATGGGCTTTTTTCGCGAGAATGTCACTTGGCAACGGAAGAATCCTCAGAGTCACTTTGATTTTACTTCTAACAACAATTTGTGTCAGAAAGAAACATTCTAAATTTTAATAATTTCTTATACCCTTTTACAATATTCAATATATTGTATTCATATTTTTTTGAAGTTCATTGCATCTCCTACAAAAAAAGCCGAAAAGGAATATGCAAACGTTGTTAATGATGAAAATGTTGAATATCATTGGCAAGTTGTTGAACGAATTCTTTTTATTTACAGCAAATTGAATCCAGGTGTGAAATATGTTCAAGTATGTCATTTTTTCTGATATTTAAATCATTATTTTTGCTGTGAGACGGAGAATAAATATTTTTATCTCCTTTAGAAGGCTTCACTGTTACAAAATTGTCAAGCTAAAACATAATCGTTTATGGTTGTCCAGCTTATGTTTTTTAAATTTAAACTTAGAGTTTATATAAGCATGATCTTGTCTATTAAAAATGGCATGAAAAATGGACGAGATAAACATTATATTTTGAAAAAAAGCTTCAAAAATTTGATGACAACCCACTTCCAAACTGCTTGATCCAATATTATGATTAAAATTAGAAGAAATTGTTTTGTTCCTTCTTCCATCGGGCAAGGCTACATTTAGTTGTTTATATGTTCAGAATCTCTTCTCGTCCTTTCCTCTTCAAACATGCGGTAGATTGGATAATAATTATCGCCTATCGGTAGTTAAGAGGTGTGCAAATCAGTCCAGGGCATAATATCATAGATCTTGAATACGTTGATGATGTAGTAATCCTTTTTGCTGACAATTAGACAAAATATAAATAACTGCTAAACAATCGCAGCGAGAATCTGATTAAGGATCTGTTTTTATTTTTATTTCCATTTTTGTTTTTTTATTATTTATATTGTTTGTCGTTGAAATTCATTATAGTGCAAATAAAACGAAAATCTTTTCATCTTTATACAAGAAGCCAATATAGTGATTTTTATCAATTCATTAACGATTGAGAAAGTGTCCCATTTTATATATACCTTGGATTCACTGTAATATACTGTAATGCTGTACAGGCAAAAGATAAAGATAAGATAACCCTGATAATGGTAGCTAGATAATCCACGTCTATATAATAGCTGCGATTAGCTCGATCTTGCTATATGGCTGCGAGAAATGGACGATAAGAGTGGAGGGTATTAAGGGGTTATCCTCCTTTGACCACCCATGTCTAAGATACATTTTATGGGCTCGCCCAGCGGATAAAATTATCATTGCATCCATCCATCTTCGCTCAAATACCACTTGCTTTAACAGTACCATCACAGAACGTCGTTTCATTGGCTAAGGCATGTTCTTGTCGCTCATCATAGGAGTTGGAACATATTTCATTACTTGTTAAACCCTGTGGCATCAAAAGCGAGGTGGACTGATACAATCAGGAAAGATTTTGGATATTTAAGTGGAACCACGATGTATGGACTTAGGCGATGGAAAAAGGAATGGCTTCTATTACTATCTACCATCTACTATCCTGATAGTTCGGATCGAATAGCTTGGAGACTTATTACAAGTATATGTTTAGATTTTGATCCTACTCACTTTTGATACGATCCGTCACAGGGTTTAACGAGATAAGTAACAAGACTCCTATATTAATCCTGTATTAATAGATTTTTCTTGTTTAATATATACTATTACTACATAAAAAATTTTTAGGGGATGAATGAAATTATTGGACCTATTTATTATGTATTAGCCAGCGACAACGATGATGAATGGGCCAGGTATGCGGAAGCTGATGCCTATTATTGTTTTCAGTTATTGATGAGTGAGATCAAAGACAATTTTATCAAAACTCTGGACAATTCCTATTGTGGCATCGGTAAATTTATAACTGTTTTTTATAAAAAATATCGGTTTTTTGTTGGGTTGGTTGACATAGTTCATCATTAATATCATTAATCAATCATTAATTTTTTAGAATCGTTGATGTCACAGTTTCACGAACGTCTGCAGATATGTGATGAAGCTTTATACAAACATATTACTGATTTGGCCATAAAACCACAGTTTTATGCATTTCGCTGGTTGTCGCTATTATTGTCGCAAGAATTTCCATTGCCAGGTACCTTATACCTTGTTTGATTTTTACTTCACAATTTTTTTTACATCCCTGTTATATTTTTTATTCTATAATTCAACAAAAAAATTTACTGTTCATAAATTAGCTCCGAACTTTTAATTTTGCCAGATGAATTCGCTCGTAAAATTAGATTATTTCACGAGAAAGTTAGCTGCGGATAAAGTTGCGGATGAGTCCTAGATGACTATCTAGATCTCACTTCTCATAAAAAATTTGTCATCTACATTATTCTTAAATTTCTTTTCTTTAATATAATTCTATAATATAATTTCTATAATTTCTATAAGCTTTGTTAATATTGTAAGCGATATTAGTTTTAGCAATGCACGATTTCCTTATAAAAAATGTATGATTAATTTTTGAATAAAATTTTCAGATGTGATTACAATTTGGGATTCTTTATTCTCAGCTACTAATCGTTTTAATCTTCTATGCAATATATGCTTGGCTATGCTGGAAAAGGAACGTGACGAGCTTCTTTCTGCTGATTTTAGTACATGTTTAAGGCTTTTGCAAGTTGGCATATTTAATTATTTATAAATTAGATTATTTTTAATTTATTTTTATATATTAAACATAGCCAGCCAATCTACAATTGCAATTTTTTTTGATAGCTTATTTGAAGCATCAAATATAAATGAGGTCATACAAGGCATTCACTTTTCTTATATATCTACAATAAGTGTTTTTTAAATTATCGATGGTGAAGTTTTCAAAGGAGAGATCCAAGCCTTATTTTGGCACCATGTTCCAAATTTATATTATTATATTATCTAACTGCAAATTACATTCTTTATTGATCGAAAGGGATCAATTACAATAAAATTTTAAATTACAAAAAAATTACAATAAAAAAAAAAATAAAATGAGAGGTCAATTGAGCAAATCCAACTGATTTGTGGAACTGTGAAAAAAAACTTGTTGAAATATTTTTAAAATAATTTTTTCTAATTTTTCTTTAGTATTTATATTTTTTAGAATTATCGAGAAATAGATGTTGGTCAGTTGATTTCTTTTGCTCATGAATTAGAAGATGGATTATACGCTCGCTGTTCTTCCTCATCTATTGATAATAGAAACTCGAAGAATCAGGTTGAAAAGGTTTTTAGTGCGCAAAAAAGTAAATTAATCGCATCATTATCAAATTTTATCAAAACTTTCTCGAAGAAATAAATCAGTTTTGTAAATATAATCATGAATGGTGTTGCCATATTAGTGATTCTAATTGTGATGCGTATAATCTATATAATCATGATCAGGTAAGAAGGGCGATTCTATGATTAGTTTTGCTATTTTCTGTTAAAATCTCTCTCCTTTAAAAAATTTATACGGCTAATTTTTTAACTTGCTTTGTTCTCTCTTTAGATATTAGAATATTCCAATTCCAATATATCTTGTTTTACCTCAGTTAAGTAACAATAATATCAATATACATATATATAATTTTTTTTTTGAAGAGTCCTCACCACTACTAGTTAAACTTAAACTGGCTCCACTGGCTTGTCGCAATTCAGCAATATGCGAGGGAATCCCGTGGCAATAAAAACAAAGATGAGTGAGCATCAGTCTGATTTTTGTACACGTTTACTCCTGCGGGGAATCGAGCCTCAGCATCAGCGCTCCCAATTGAGCAAAAACCCACTGAGCCATTCCATGCCCTATATTGGATAAATTGCACATTTTGTAGTATTTTGTTGGATTAAACAACTCCTATTATAATTTTGATTTAAATCATAGGAATTTTTAAAAATTATGGCCATTTTGTTCTGTAAATTTTTGTTTAAACAAATATATAATTATTAACATTTCTTTATATCTTTAATAAAAAAATTAATTAGTTGTTTTTACTTATTTTTGATTTTTATTTTTGAATAGAATTTGATTGATTATTTTCATTTTAATCGTTTGTTCCCACAATATATATAAATTCTTTGCAAATTTTTTAGATCATTTAATAATTACTGGGTTGAATTTTTTTTCATTTTTTATTTACCTTTCCGTAAATTATAAATTTACATTCGCATTGTTGGAAAATACGGTTTTATATCTATTGTTATTTAAAATATTTTTATTTAAAATATTTTTATTCTTTTGTGAAACAAAAGTATGCAAAAAAGATAATAAAAAATTTTATCTATTAAAGCGAATAAATAAATTTCCAGGCAGCGTGTTTTTCGCAATTTTCTTTTATAGAAAAAAAGAAATTTAAAGAAAAGAAACTGAATAGTTGTACAACAATAATCATAGTTGGAACAAGCCGATATTTTTAATTAGCTAATTCAGCGTTTGTAGTTTTTATCAGGTAATTCGTAGCAAATATATCCCTTGTATAACTTCATAATAATTTATAGAGAAATAATTTTATAGAGAAATAAACCCAAATGCAAAAGAACATGCACTGTAGTCCTCAATTCTCAGCATCATCCAAAATGACACTCATTTCCTTTTATCATTCTGTCCACTGTTAATTTTTTTCTTTGATCAAGAGCCTTCCTAAATCTCGCAAATTGTACCAAGAAATTTCATTTCTGCTTAAAGCCCATAATAGGCCGGGGAAATCTCATTGCGTTTTGTTAAATTTGCCATTAAAACCGCGACGCTATTCATTTGCAGAAACCGAATCATAGCATATAATAAAATTTCCCTAAGTTGCCAAAATGCAACAAACATTTCTATAAATCTTTAAAAAAGTGGATAAAACTGAAAGGCGTATATATAAATTCCTTAATTGACTGAAACATATAAAAATATAATTGCAGAATCAGGAAAAATAAAAAAACCAGGTAATATTGCAGTAAAAAGGAACATTCGCAAAAATCACCAGTTCTTTTACATAGGAAAATAATTTATATAAGCTAAAATAAAGGTGTAATGAAATGCTTAAATTTAACAAGCCGAAAAAGCGATGACGGTTAGTTTAAGTAGCGTAAAAAATGCTAAAAAATTTCGAGTGCTTGCAATTCTTCTCTTGATCGGAAAAACGTGCGCTGAAAAAAGCTTACAGCACTTGGGATTCCCAGGCCGTCTCCGATCCTAGTACTAACCAAGCCCAACGTTGCTTAACTTGACAGATCGGACGGGATGTCGTGTTTTCAACGTGGTATGGCCGTAAGCAACAACTCCACGTTGTATACGACCTATAATCGAAGGAATATTCAAAAAATAAAGCGTAAAAAATGCTAAAAAATTTCGAGTGTTTGCAATTCTTCTCTTGATCGGAAAAATGTGCGCTGAAAAAAGCTTACAGCACTTGGGATTCCCAGGCCGTCTCCGATCCTAGTACTAACCAAGCCCAACGTTGCTTAACTTGACAGATCGGACGGGATGTCGTGTTTTCAACGTGGTATAGGTTTATTCTTTCACTTCACTTTTATTAAATCCAATGCTCGTTCATAAATGAACTGCTAATATAATAGTGCATATGGTTCTTGCATGATTTTTGTTGTGTCCAAGGAGTATTTTGCGGATTTTTTAATGTTTTTCACGCATGGTTGAATATGTTATGATTTCTGGATTTTCAGGGGTACCAGCACAGAAGGTTGGAATCCAAGGAGATCTGCATGAGCTTTTTATGAGGTTGATTTTATTACATACCATTATCGGCCTGGGTATCATAGTATTTTGTTTTGTGATACCATACCATTGGGGATTAATTTAGTGGAATGCCCCAATGATATTAATATGGTGTGTAGGGCATTGGAGTGTTTAGGAATTGCTTATTCGTTTTTAATAGAGACATCGCTGGAAGAGTGCTAATGAGATTTAATAATATTTTGTGGAAGCGTGTGCATATTACATTCTGAAAAAGTTCTGGCACTGTAATTATTTCTTATGGATTGAGGGATTTCAGGAAGCTTATGGCATAGTTAATTATTGCAAAGAAATATAGCGAGCTTTGACGTGGTATTAAGGCAAATCATTGAGCATTTGTAGCACTTGTAGCATTTTCGATGGAGTGGAACAGGCTTAGAAGAAGTCGTTAGGGAGGTAAACTGGAGACTGAACGATATGACGGGCAACTAGAATGGAATTTTGGTAGTGGTTTGGGGAGGGGGGGAGAGGCGGAGACGGAGGAGGGCAGAGGAATTAGATGGGAATGAAGGACGTTATTTAAGGGTTATTAGAAATGGGCAAAATTTTTTTGATTTTTGAGAAAATTGGTGTTTTTTTTCAAACATAATTTGCATATTTGCTAATATTGCGATTTGTTTTACAATTATTATTGCGCTGTATTATAATTATTATTATAATTTTTTCAAAAATTTGTTAAAAAATGCTTTAAAATTTTTAAATTTAAATAATTATTTGCGTGCGATGAATATTTTCATTTCATATTTTTTAAATTTTATTGATAAAAATTTATTTTTAAACTTTTTTCCATTTTCACTTTTAACAAATTTAATAAATTTCATTTTTGTTGCGAGTTATTTCCAATTTTCCATCTGTTTTTTATTTTTTATTTCCATTTTTGTTTTTTTATTGTTGTTTGTCGCTGAAATTCTACAATAGCAACACTCGCCGTTCTGTTTGGGGCGGTTTAACCCGCGATTTATCCGCGGAAAGTTCTACTCGCTTCGCTGAGCTCTCCTCACTTTTGCATTTTGCTTGGCCCCAGCCAAAGCAAACACACCATTCTGTTATTATTCACGAATTTCTTTTCATTACAACCTTTTTTTTATTTAGTTAAATTTGTAATTAAAAATAAAATTGATATAATAAGTTGATAAATTGATATATAAAAAAATTAAATTTTCATTAATTTTCCTATCCATTTTTTTTCTATTTTGAATGGATAAACGATTTAAAATTATGGACGCCGCGAAACGGCGAAAGCAAAAAGACTGTTCTGTGAGAAAAGGTCCGCTTTTTATGGACTCCGCCTGCGCGACGACATCATTGAGCCAGTTGGCGACACCACTGGATCATCTTAAATTTTTTTGTACCCATTGGCCTTTTTTGCATTCTTTTTGAGGATGTCGTCGTCTTGTACATATGAATCTTTCGCTGATTATTCGCTATTCCGGCATGCCACTAAATTACGATGCACCACTGCGAACTTATGGAAACTGTCTCGTGCCTCGAAACATGCCTCGTCAACCTCCTCTTCGTTCGTTGATCATTGGTGGATCGGTGATTAATTTGTTGACCAAGCAAATGCTGGCTCGAATCCTCTTAACATTTTTACGACCCCATAGTAGCCTTTTCGCTTTCGCGTTTCGCTACAATGGATTCGTTACTTTTCATAATTTCGCAATAATTTTTTGCCTAAAAAAGAATTTCTTAAAATTTATTTGTTTCGTTTTTTTAAAGAAATGTCGGAATCGATTTCAAATTTAAACATAAATTCGTCAATCGATGAAACAAGCGAAATTGGTAAAATTTTTCGAAATTTGAAATTTTTTCTTAATAATCAATTTTTTTGATAAACTTCTTAGCAAAAAAAAGTATAAAAATTTTTTCGATTTGTTTTTTTCTTTTTTCAGAAAAAGAAATAAAAGATAATTCAAATTTATCAACGCCACATCAAACGTTCGATTATACGCAAAACACTCTTTCGATTTTAAATAAAACGTTAAATCAACGTAAATATTATGCAAATGTTATGAAAAAAGACGTCACAAATAGCGTTTTCGATGTTTTCGATGATATAAATCGAAAGGAAAGTTTCTGTTCGCTTGGAATTTTTATTAAATATAAATTAAATTGGAGTAAAAGTTTAAGTTCGTCCCCGACGGTGCCGTCCACTCACCTGCACCTCCTTTTTCCACCGTCAGACGCTTTGTCTGATCGCGAAATTGACCATTGGTGAGAAATCGAAAAAGATCTGAAGAATCTCTTTCGTTGTAATTTTTCATAAAGAAATTTGAAAATCACTTGGAATGGCACTTTTTTCACAATTAAAAATAAAAAAGGAAATTTCACGCGAATGAGATTAATTTGCGGTGAATGAAATGAAAAAAGAATTCTTTTGAAAATTTTTTTGAAAGCATTTTAAAAATATCTCAAATTCTTTTCGTGCATTCACCGTTTCTGGTTGAGCTGCTCGCTCGGCTGGCTTGTCAGCCGGGCGAGGCAAACTTTGTCAGTCGGTCAGTTGAAGTCGAAGTCAAACGACTGGATCGCCAACTGGATTTTTGAAGGGCTCTTTCCTCTCGTTCATTTTTACGAATATTTTATTTCAGCTATTAAATTTTTTCCAGTGCTCTTCGTTTATATTCACTCAACAATATTTCTTTTCCTTCTTTTTAAGGTCGATTATGTAACGAATTCATCCGAGAAATTTAATATCGAAAGAGATTTTAAGGGGCAATTTGAAGAAATGAATTCAGAAGTGTCACAGTCTTCTATTTTAGTTGATAGTGATAATGATAATGATAATGGTGATGATGATTTAGGTTTCTTTTTATCAGTTCAAATTTTTCGCAAACTTTTTCGTGCTTTTTTGAAATTATATCTGGCATTTTACGTTTATTGATAGGCCAAGAAATTTGCACTTCTTGAAGCCTATATTAGCTAGGCTGATATTTAGCTAGGAGTGATAAGATAGATTATCAGATCTACCATGGGGAATAAATTTTGCTATTAACGGCATTAGGGAAAAAAATCGTAGAAATCTGTGATGCATTTGCAGAAAAAAAACAATATTTTTTTATTTTTTAAGATTGGTCAGAAGCAATTGTGAATTTGTATCAGTTGGCCGATGAGGGAAGTGCAGCAGGTTTCGTTCATTTCGTTTGTTAAAATAGCATTTTTTCATCGTAATTGTTAATAGCTATCTTTATTTTAATGATCCTGCAAGCTGTTAAAATTGCTTTCAAATTTTAAAAATAGTTTTTGATAGATGTGGCGATTTCAGGGAAAAGGGCCGTCGTCGATCCACTTCCGTCGATGTCTTCTGGCGACACGAGAAATGCTATGGCGGAGTCCAATAAATCAGCCACGTATCGCACTTTTGAAAAAGTAAAAATTTCTTTTTTTTGCTACTAACTTGAAAAAAATTGTATGAAAAAATAATCTGCATTCTTTTCAGTGGATTCAGTTCATTTCATTTTGAAAAAATTTTTTTATTTTTTTACTCTTCTTTGAAGATCGGTTATTTATCAGCTGATGTAAGAAAAGAAAGCGCTGAAGAGCAGTTTAATCGCGTTGGTCCAGATGCGCCAGCCGACACCGTTACATTCACGGCTGATCCCGGTTTCTTTTTTTCTTTAAATATGAAAAGTGGAAAAAATTGATACCGATTGTTGGCACTTATGGCTATAAAATCGTCCTACCTACTACCCTTGTTTTCCCCTTTAAAAGCCCTAAATATAATATGCCTGGCCCAAGCAATTAGCGACATATTCTGGACCTTTGCCATAAATTCCAATGGAACCCCTGATAGCAGTTAATATTCCTCGAAACTCCACTTGTACCTCTAAAGATTGGGAAGAATGTATGGCGGAATGCCGCGCTTTGAAAGTATTTCATGGGCTAAAATAAATCACAAAATGTTGTTATATAAAATATAAATATAATAAATATGAATATAAATATAAATATTGTTATATAAAATATAAATATAATAAATATAAATATAAATAAATGTTGTTATATAAAATATAAATATAAATAATATATAAAATTGAAATTTCGCTAAAATGTAAAATATTACGAAGAATTATTTATTATACAACAACGATTTTCCTTTTTCATTAAATATTAAATAAAGTTTATAATTTTTTAGATGAATTGTACGTTCCGCAATGTGAACGGAACGGCAGCGTTGTCGACTTATTCTGCGATATGTTGGCGGACGAACGTTTCACGCAAACTTTATTTTCACATTTCTTAACGAACGAGGAAATGCAAATAGCGAAAAATGATTAATTTTTTGGGAATGTTAGCTGTTAATATTAATATTAATTAATTAATTAGTATTAAGCTAAATCGTTTTGGTTTTGGCTCTATCTTTAAATACATTAATAGATTTATTCACGTGTCACGTGTTATTTCGACTTGGGTGCTGCATTCATCGCCCAATGACACTTCATTCGGCTTCCCTCATTGGCCACAAAGGCGACACCTCTTGACATTTATGCACAGAAACAGAGGGACAGCCGATAATTTTCTTCACCTTTTGTTTGTTATATTGCTGATCAATAATTATATAACGTTGCATCATTTCAAAAATTAAATTTATATTTCTCGGATTTTACAAGTGAAATTTTTTTAGCTCTTGAAAAACCTTCCATTTTTTCACTATAATTAATTGATTTTAATGATCGTTTCCATCTACTTTCCTCATAAATTTTATCGATTTGCTGGAAAGAATACCAATTTTCTTCCAAATTACAATTTGATGTAATCACGCGTATTAGAAATTATCACAAATTTATCGCAAATACTCAACATTTATTAATAGTAATGAAAACAAAACCGAAGCGAAAATAAAACTAACAGAAACGGTGATTGTTCGCGATATAGCAAAAGGTACGACTGCATGTCACAACGGTCTGATGATTGACCGAGCCAGTCGAACTTTTAAAAATTCGCATTTGAATGCCTAAAATTCCATCCTTTCCAGTGAGAGTATAAAGTTTTCAAATAGAACAGAGTGACTACGCGATTCATTGTGGACTATGATTCCCTAAAAACACCGTTTCTCCTTCAGCTTTACGGCAACCATTCGCAGGGTAGGCTTAGTGCAGTACCACTAGAGTAAGCATTTGTAAGCACTCGACCTCGAATTCATATGCATTTTGACTGCACCATTTAAAATATTAAATACTCAGACCAAAATTTCACAAAACACCATTTATACAGATAAATCAATCGATAAATATTAAATTGTATTATTTGTTGAAACGAAATCAAAGACAAACGTTAATGCCAATAATGTTAAGTAAGAAAATCAAATTTCCAACAAAAGAAATTACCAATGTCTCAAGAAAATAAAGACGGTGAAGAGATTGGATCCATGGTGAATTAGTGGCCCTAAGGAGGGCCGTTTGGGACAAAAACATTTAAATATTCGAAAAATTGAATTTAACCACCAAAACCGTAAAGCGTACGGCCCTGACGTTTTAATGCATAGACGACGTCCATAGCAGTGACGGTTTTCCTCTTCGCATGTTCGCAATATGTAACAGCATCACGGATAACATTTTCAAGGAATACTTTCAGCACACCACGGGTTTCTTCATAGATTAAACCAGAAATTCGTTTAACACCACCACGACGCGCAAGTCGACGTATGGCAGGCTTCGTTATACCTTGGATATTATCGCGAAGAACTTTACGATGACGTTTAGCGCCTCCCTTACCAAGACCTTTGCCACCTTTACCGCGCCCTGACATTTTTTCCAAATGAAATGTTAACGAGAGACCAATTTCTTTTATAGTGAAACAAAAACGACCGAACCGGGACTCTAAGCAAGCCACACCCAACGAGAATGACCTCTTCGGGACGCACAAACATTAATGTATTTGCTTTATTGATCTAAGCCTTTTTTCAAAAAAATATTTTTACATATAAATTATGAATTATGAATTTTATTCGTTAATAGCAAATAATTATAATAAAAAGTAGCATTCACAAAATTCACGATTAATAATTTTAGAAGAAAGAGAAATCACAGCGAGAAACCTGGAATTGGAACTAAATGAGGGGTGAATGGTATGTACGTCGACGATTCGCAAATCCTCGTTCAATACAATTCTATTTGAACCAAATGGGCATATCTCTCGCATAAATTAATACTTCTTCAATGGTACCGAAGCAGAGATTTAGGTCATTTCTCTCGTATAAATTAATACTTCTCCAATGGTACCGAAACAGAGAGATTTGTTAGTGTTAACTTACGGGAACCCATTCACCAACCAATTCACTTTCCCACGTTTTTATCGGAATTTTGCGTTTAATACCTTTCTAACAGATCGCTGTGAATTAATTCTTACAATTCGTCGATCGATATCTCCGAACTGAAAATCTGCAAAATGACCTCCGCGGGACTCTACTACATAGGCCACGAAGCCGAAAATCAATATTCGCATCTAACAATTTAAATGTCATTTTTTCAAATTTTTATTATAAAAATGGTTAATAATGAGAAATTTAATAAAAAAATATCCTTTTTGCAGAAATTTTAATAAATTTTTTAGATTAATTCACCATTAACTTCAACACTTTAACCAATAAAATAGTTAATGAATGTCTTTTTCGAGGTTAAAAAATTTCGACTGTTCTTTGATAATAATAATTTAAATAATAATGAACAATTTGCTTTGTCCAAGCAAAATTTATTATAAAGTTAAGGAAATTCCAAATTAAACTTTATAACTGAAACTCTTTTACAAATTTGCATCCAAATTTTAGATCCGCTAAATTTAAGTTTGAACTTCGTAGAATAAAGCAACTTTGTTGCTCCTTTCTTTCCATCCATCCATATGGATTTCAACTTCGTTCAGTCGGCATAATTCTGCCCCAAGAAATGAAAAAATGAAAACGGTTGTTTAGGAGAAAATTTTCAAGCGAATACGACGACGACCACTAAATATGCACTTAAGAAATGAATAAACTAACAAATAAGTACAAACATAGGCAAAAAAAGACCGTGGAAAAAAGTTTGTTTCATGAAGATTAGTGGTCCTAAAGAGGACCGTTTGGGACCAATGTGCCGAGGATTTACGCTTTTTCAGCAGTCTTTTTCGGCAATAACACAGCCTGAATATTTGGTAAGACGCCACCCTGTGCAATTGTTACACCAGCCAATAGCTTATTTAGTTCTTCATCATTACGAACAGCCAACTGAAGATGTCGAGGATTAATACGCGTTTTCTTGTTATCCCTCGCTGCATTGCCAGCCAATTCAAGCACTTCAGCAGCCAAATACTCTAATACAGCAGCTAAATAAACGGGAGCTCCAGCACCAACACGTTCAGCATAGTTGCCTTTACGCAATAGACGGTGAATGCGACCAACAGGAAATTGTAAACCAGCACGAGAAGAACGACTCTTTGCCTTACCAGACGTCTTCGCCTTACCACCCTTGCCGCGACCTGACATTTTTCAAATTCAAACGATGTCATATATATCTATCGAGGTTTATATAGATATTTCTGAAATGGGCGGTGCCAATAAAACAAGAGTCCAAGAGAGAATATAAATAGAGCAGTTTTCGTTCACCATCATTTCTTGTTAGTTGCGTTTATCTGTCCATTATGCCACCAAAACCGTCAGCGAAGGGAGCGAAAAAGGCGGCAAAGTCGCAGAAGGTTCGTTCGGGTGATAAAAAGCGTCGTTTGCGTCGTAAGGAGTCGTATTCAGCTTACATTTATCGGGTGTTGAAGCAAGTCCACCCGGACACTGGGATTTCTGGAAAAGCAATGTCGATCATGAATTCATTCGTTAACGACGTATTTGAACGAATTGCTGCTGAAGCAAGCCGTCTTGCTCATTACAATAAGCGTTCAACAATCTCGTCACGTGAAATCCAAACGGCTGTACGCTTAATCCTCCCTGGTGAATTAGCTAAACACGCGGTTTCTGAAGGGACAAAAGCTGTCACCAAATATACATCAACTAAATAAATCGCTGTGTATTATTTGGTTATCCCAAACGGTCCTCTTTAGGACCACTAATTCCAATGAATAGAACTTGTTTTTTGGAAAATTATTTGTTGTATAGAAATTGTTTGTAAATATTAATTTCTTTATCAAAATAAATTTTTCATATCATTTGTTGTCAATTGCATATTATATGAGATAAGCTGAATTTTTATGATTTTACAGTTATTGATTTCGTATTTGGATTGAAAAATTGAAGAAAATTTTTTGAAAATCTAAAAATGATCGAAGGAATAATGATTGCTCAATCTATGTTGATTCGAAGTGATTTTTTATAAAATTTCTCATGCTTTAGTAATTTTTTGATTAAAAGTCCATGTTCTTAAATTAAAGGAGGAGATAACTTTCGTTACAAAAATTTGTTTGGGATTGTCGCGTAGAGTCTCGCGGAGGTCATTTTGTGAATTTCCTATTTCAAAGAAAATATTCATTAACTATTTTATTGGTTAAAGTGTTGAAGTTAATGGTGAATTAATCTAAAAAATTTATTAAAATTTCTGCAAAAAGGATATTTTTTTATTAAATTTCTCATTATTAACCATTTTTATAATAAAAATTTGAAAAAATGACATTTAAATTGTTAGATGCGAATATTGATTTTCGACTTCGTGGCCTATGTAGTAGAGTCCCGCGGAGGTCATTTTGCAGATTTTCAGTTCGGAGATATCGATCGACGAATTGTAAGAATTAATTCACAGCGATCTATTAGAAAGGTATTAAACGCAAAATTCCGATAGAAACGTGGGAAAGTGAATTGGTTGGTGAATGGGTTCCCGTAAGTTAACACTAACAAATCTCTCTGCTTCAGTACCATCGAAGAAGTATTAATTTATACGAGAGAAATGACCTAAATCTCTGCTTCGGTACCATTGAAGAAATATTAATTTATGCGAGAAAATTTCCTGCAATTATTTGTCGAATAAAATTCATAATTCATAATTTGCATGTAAAAATATAGTTTGAGAGGGGATCAATAAAGTGGAGTTCCGATGCGGTCGTTTATTGAGTATGCAAGCCGATAGATTCTCATAAATTTACCAAACGTATACCTTATCGTCATTATTTGACTTATCAGCGTTAAATATTTTGCTTTATAAGTCAAATTTAGCCTCAATATCTAAAGAATATTTAATACTTTCCGGCAATACTTCTCTTGCCTTTCAACGAAAGAAATACTCCGACAATTAGTAGGACGCGTTTCCAACTTAAACCGATCCTTTTCTGCAATTTGAATCTTCTTTCTCCGCCAGTAGCTAGGTTGGTTCCACTAGTGACTAGAAAACGATGTTTGCAAGCCTCCCAGTCGCAACCTAAAAGTAAGTGAAGCAAATACATTCGCACTGATCGGCGCTGAAGCCATAATGTTTTAACAAGTCTGATTATCAGGAATACCGTCGTTTTACCAGGGCGCCATGATCGAGTCGCTGAGAGCCTGAAGCATGTCATATTATGGTAGGTGAATGGTTGATACGTAAAGCGATTGACGTCTGCTTTTTCATACGTGAATCGCCAGCATCAGCCGGATTTTTGGACTGGTTTACTCCTGCGGGGAGTAGCGTCGACGCTCCGAACTGAGTAACATTGAGCCTGAGCCGTCTCCCTTACTTATTACTGCGAATGTATTTGTTACGACTCTCGCTGGCAGTTCCACTCAGCCACCGACGCACCGCACCTTGTTTGGTAAACGTTTAAGTCTTTTATTTATTTACTTTTATTTTTAAAAGTACTTTTCAAAATATATATTTACTCAATTGCCATTGCCAATCACCACATTTATGCATAATAAAAGCTATCACTGGTCCAAGCGCATATATTGCTGAGTCGCCTATACATTCAAAGCCTCCGAATGCCGTTCAGGTTTTGATTGGCTCTTCCCGGTTCTCGCCCTCAGCACGCGTTAAACTCAAAGGATATGGTCGACGCTCCACGGCGATATTGATAAAGCAGATGGTACCTGAGCGAAGGTGTGGTAATCATAAGATTTCCGCTGTACTGGTAAAATATGTTGTAGAATGATCAACGGTAAACAGCTTCATAGCATTCTCCACTCTCATACATAGTGCAACTGGATGCGAGCCTTTATTCTGATGTTAATTTCGCGATAGTTCCACAGACGCATTTGGAGCTTAGGTTATCCGAGTTGCAGTTTCGTCATTCGCCTGGTATAAATGAGTGTGAATCAAGGAAAGTCTAGGATCCTTCTTCTGCATTAAGAATATGGGAATTTAAACGGTGATAAGGATAGAGACAAGTGATGAAGATAGGCAGTTTATCAGCTATATAAAGCTTGTCAGATAGCTCTTTCATATTTAAATTCCATTGATAATCTTGAATTTTTGCTGTACTTGTCGACATATTGCCACTCATTTCTCTGTAATTATCAGTGAAAACGACTACATAATCAGCGTATTCAAGATCAGTGATAGTGCTAAAGGGCTTGTACATCTCTTGCCGGTAAGCGATAAGTGTAATATAAATTATAAATTCCCTCAATTCGAAAGAACAATATACCGCTTAAACGAATTGTTCATCAAAATCACACCGCACAACATTATATTTATATAAATAAATCATTATATTTATCATAACTGAGGTAGTTGGTACCGTGAAATCCTACCAGTGGTTTTAGAAAGCTGGACTAAAAGACAGTGCTGAGGCACTGATCATAGTAGAACAAGAGCAGCTACTGAAACAAGGTCTGCCATACTAGACAGGACTCTGGATGCGAATTGTGCAAAAACGCCTCAGAAACATAGTGGCATAGTGGCAGCATGTAAAATAAAAGGAACAACACACGCTGAAAGGCAACCAAGTAGTTGGCATTATCTGCTCGTATATGGCTTAGACCCTCCGAAGACTAAATGAGAGATTCTTCAGAAGATCCTGTGGGACTCCTCCATTCAAATAGACATAGACAATCAATTAGATATCGAAGCAGTAGACAAGAACCAGAAATCAGCACTGGTGGTAGACATACCAAGGGATAGGAACGTTAGAAGGAGGGAATTTGATAAGTTAAAGAAATACCAAGGACTGAAAGAGCTAAAGACTAAGGAGCTAAAGACGTGTAAAGTAAAAAATGTGTAAAGTAAAAAGTAAAACCAAAGTAATTCCAGTGGTTATTGGAACTTGGAATTGTGGCCCCAAGCCAGAACAGTGACTTCAGCAGATTCCCAGGTACAATATCAGAGACCCAGAAGAACATGCTACTAGAAACACCTAAAATATTGCGCAGAACCCTCGAACTCCCAGGTCTCTGCTAGAAGACCCGGGATTGGGAATGGTCGTGAACATCCACAGGGGATGAGAACAAAGTCTATCGTTTCGCATGAAGCCATGGGAAACGTTAATGCCACAGATATTGAGTAAGGAAAACAAATTTATTAAAAACAGTGTTTTTTACAACAAATAAAATAATTAAAATTCCATGAAAAATCGATAATGGAAAACAGGTTTGGGTTGGATTTGGATTCACATTAATTAGTGGAGAGATAAAAATATCTGAGAAACTTTTCGGAAGATAGGGTAATCACCAAACCAAAAGCACCAAAACCGCAAAGTGTACGGCGACTTTAACGTTTTAATGCCTAAACGATGTCCATAGCAGCGGTTTTCCTCTTCGCATGTTCACATGTATGTAACAGCACCACGGATAGCATTTTATACTTTCAGCACACCACGAGTTTCTTCATAAATTCAGAAATGTTTGGCACCACCACCACTTTGTGAGACTCGCAGTAAGTCACGGCCGGTAAAACGACCTCGTCGAAACTCCACAGTTGAAGATATTTCACCTAATTTTTCAATTTTCAATTTTTTTCAAAAAAAAACTTCTGTACATATGAATTTTGATGATCATAGCATACAATTGTTGCATCCAAAATTTTATATTCGAATTTATAACTTCCATAATCCTACGATGAACTATTTCTGTCTTGTTAGTTGTTACTTTAAAAACCACAGGAACCGAGTGACAGTTTTATTATTTCGAGCAACATTGCTAGTGCACGGATTGTAGCAACTGTGATGTAATTAAAAATCTATGTGGTACTAAGGATTCAAAGACCTGAACTTTTAAGTTTTCATTGTAAAAAAACAGTTTGCAGAGGAAAATAGCAATAAATGTTCTTTATGTACTGTTTTTAATGGTCAACATTTAAAACGACCTCTGCGGGACTCCCAGTCATAGCTATCAGCAGAAATTGGAACAAATAGTTTAAACATCATAAAATCTTCCGAAAAAGTGGGAATCACGAATTTCTTATTTTTAATTGATAAAGTTAAAAACCATTTGTTTTAAATCATCTATTCGCTCTTGAAAAATACTAATCAATTTCTCCAATCGAAAACGCAATTATTGAGAAAATTATTAATTATTGTCGCAATTATTACCTTAAATTTTTCAAATATCGATCGATAGTTCGTGCCACTGTTTCGAAAAAAATACTCACAACCACCAGCATGAAAGGTAATTCAGGTTTTCGCCCATTTCATCCCTTTTAAAATCCACGAAATTTAGCTGATTTTAACACTTAGTCGATAAAATTAAAAATTACAAAAAACACTGAGAAAAATATTATTAAACATTTTAAATTTTAAAAATAAATAAGATTTACAACAATTTGTGAGAAAAAGTTCTATTCATTGGAATTAGTGGTCCTAAAGAGGACCGTTTGGGATAACCAAATAATACACAGCGATTTATTTAGTTGATGTATATTTGGTGACAGCTTTTGTCCCTTCAGAAACCGCGTGTTTAGCTAATTCACCAGGGAGGATTAAGCGTACAGCCGTTTGGATTTCACGTGACGAGATTGTTGAACGCTTATTGTAATGAGCAAGACGGCTTGCTTCAGCAGCAATTCGTTCAAATACGTCGTTAACGAATGAATTCATGATCGACATTGCTTTTCCAGAAATCCCAGTGTCCGGGTGGACTTGCTTCAACACCCGATAAATGTAAGCTGAATACGACTCCTTACGACGCAAACGACGCTTTTTATCACCCGAACGAACCTTCTGCGACTTTGCCGCCTTTTTCGCTCCCTTCGCTGACGGTTTTGGTGGCATAATGGACAGATAAACGCAACTAACAAGAAATGATGGTGAACGAAAACTGCTCTATTTATATTCTCTCTTGGACTCTTGTTTTATTGGCACCGCCCATTTCAGAAATATCTATATAAACCTCGATAGATATATATGACATCGTTTGAATTTGAAAAATGTCAGGTCGCGGCAAGGGTGGTAAGGCGAAGACGTCTGGTAAGGCAAAGAGTCGTTCTTCTCGTGCTGGTTTACAATTTCCTGTTGGTCGCATTCACCGTCTATTGCGTAAAGGCAACTATGCTGAACGTGTTGGTGCTGGAGCTCCCGTTTATTTAGCTGCTGTATTAGAGTATTTGGCTGCTGAAGTGCTTGAATTGGCTGGCAATGCAGCGAGGG